AAATGAAATGTTTTCTTCAAAAGTTTCAGTGTCTTAAATGAAAACAGTGGTAAAATGCAGTGTTACATTCAAAATGTTTTCTTTAGGAATTGAGCAGTGAGGATTTTGGGTTTTACACTAATATTTTAGAAAGATGTGATGACGCAAATAGTGTCTTTGAAAAGGAAACAAAACAGTTTTTTAAATGTCAGAAAGTGCCTTATTAAGATGCGGGAAAAAGAGTCGTGTTTGATAACATAGGAACTACTTTACCATTTTTCTGCCATCGAGTCTGCCTTTTTAACTGGGTGGAGGGAGGGAGTTTCAGCAGCGTATGTTCACTCAGCAGTTTTATGCTTTCTAAGCACATACCTTTTAACATCAGCAAGGCACTTCTTCCCACGCCTTTAGTCTGCTTGTTCCCTTGGGATGCCATGGGGAGAGAAAACCACTGTGAAACCTCACATTTAATTCAGAAAGAATGCTTCTAACCAATATTGATGCATGGAATGGTTTACTTACCGTCTAGCAATTCAAACGTTAAACAGTGCTTTGCTCAGACAAATTGTGATCTATAAATGAGATTTTTATACATACTTCTATTGCTCCAAAGCATTGTGCTATGCAAAAGTTGGTGGGTTTGGAGGGGGCTGGGAAATAAGTGCAGACTTCTACATTATTGATGTGTGTGGAAATCAATGGTTTATGGGGAAGTACATACCCAAAATGATAGGATATTCTGAAATGTGCAGAGCTCCCAGTGACTTTGAGTGTATTCATCAGTGTTTGTGAAACTCTGAAGGTGTCCCTGGAAGTGCTTTGCTGGACAGTAACATCAGTACTTTGCTAATTTAACCAAGGGAACAATTGGAAACCCATGAATAACTAGTATGATGTGGACTAAGTTGTTCTAATTAGGAAACCTGTAACTAGCAGATTTTTTTTTTTTTTTTTTAAATTGTGAGAATTGAAGGCATTTTGATTTTTCAGGTTTTTAGGACATATACAGAAGCATGACATAGCTTGAATACCAGACCTCTGTTCAAGCAGGTATCTCCACTGACTTTTCTGGGCTGCATCTCATGAATAAGGGAAACATGATTATGAATGGGAATGTTTCTGGCCAAGCCACCATTTTATAGGAGCCCAGTTTTTCTGTGATGTTTTTCCTCAACTGTGAAGTGTGTCTAGTGTCTAAAACACGAAAGAAGCAGCCCTGTCTAAGGATCGAGTCTGACGTATCAAGGGTATTTGAGAGACTATTTCTGTGCTCAGCCTCCCACCTTCACATACAAGCAACAGTGTTATGTATGTGGAGTGCAAACATGAGGGAATTTTTAAGCGTGCATTGGGTTCTGTGTTTAAATATTGCACCACCGTCTTGAATTTTTACTGCTGCTATGTTAAGCTTTAGCTACTAAGTGCCTGTTGAGCTGCCTTTGGCTCTTCGGTATCTTTCTTCAGTTTCTTCTGAAGAAACACAGAACCTTCAGTGCTTGGGTTGCAACTTTGGCCCTTTACTACTTCCTCAGCATCCAGACCAAAACCAATATCAGGATATGTCTATGCTTCTTGATAATATTTGTAGATTAAAAGAGGAGATAAAAGAAAATGGGGAGACTTCCTAGATGCTTCCTAGCCACCACTGCTGCCTGTGACAGCAGCAGCAAAGCTCAAACCCTCCCCCTCCCATCCATTTCAACAGCACTAACAACCTTACCTTCTCACAAGAAATGGCTGAAAGCAACAGCTTTGCCTGCCTGAATGAAACTACTGTTTTCATACAAGCCCTTTAAAAAGTTAGGAGCGGGAGGGAGGTGGTGTGACTCGGTGGTTAATGAACTGAACAAGGAGGGAGGGAAGGGCCATTTGTTGTGCGTAAGGTTATGATGTTGAACATTTGACAAGGGGCAACTTTGTCTTCTTTAGGTGCAGGAAAAAAACCTGTAAAATGAAGTAAAGAACAAATCAGGCTTCCCAACCTGTTCTTAATCCTTGGGTGAAGATGGAAGGAAACAGTTCTGAAGACCCAAGTATGTCAGGGCTCACTGCACAGGGCATGCTAGGAGAGACAGCACTTTCACACATGGCTCTGAAAACTTCTTAGCTCTTCTAAGACGTGTCCTTAGGTTTACTTGTTTGTTCCTCCCATGGCAGCATGCACAGCATGAGGCAACAAGAAGAAAAGCTGCCCTAGTTTCGATTAATGGTCACTCACTGTGCAGAGCTGCTTTTACATGCATCTGGGTCAGCAGATGCTGTAAGAGAGCAGATCAATACAGAGCATCTATAGTGTCAGCAGAGCTATAGGCATGAAACCCATAATTCAAAAAAACTATTACAAAACCTGAAGCTTCAGACAGCTTTACAGCTGCGGCGACTTGAGAGTTTTATTTTGATAGATGCCGGGAGCCATATCAATGTGCAACATGAGTCCAAACCATTGTTCATTTGGACTTGCTTTCAAGGAGCGTGACAAGGTAAAACCAAAAGTATGACATGTCAGTTCAGGCTAAAAGGCTCTGCATGAGTCTTCTGAACCACAATGTCTCCCAGACTCTTTCATTGCTTTACTTATGTCTTGAACTCTGGGAGCGATGGTTTCCACTGGCATCCCAACACACCCAGTTATGCAGTTTTGCATACTAGATGGGGTAGGAAAAGGTATTTTTCTGAAGGAGTTTTCATTGTAATTGATTTTGTGATTAAGTAGCTATTAAAGGAAAAATACACACCTGTTACTGTGCAAATGGAATAATTTTTTGACACGCATTCAACAACTGTCGAGCAAATTCAGGCTATTCAGGCAGTATCATTTGCAACAATGCGATTTGGCATCTTTGCAGCAATCATGTACCCTGTCACGTTCAGCCAAGCTTCTGTTACAGCCAGCTCACACTGTGATATTTTGTGTGCACGTGAATGTTTTAAAAGTAACCTGCTTACCCTGGTCTATGATACAGAATAGATGTAGACTCAATGAGCCATGGCCAGCAGGAGGGAGGAGGCAGTAGATGAGAAAGCAAGAACATTTGTGGGTTGTTTGTTTTTTTTTTTATGCCCCTGCTAGTTCTCTAGAGTGATGTGAACATATTTTCTGAGTAAACATATAATGAAACTGTGAAATATATTAACAAAAAAAAAGCATGAAGGCAAGGTCTGAATGGTCAAGTGCTCATTTATAATAGTCTTCTGTTCAAATTAGGCCAGACAAATCTGTGCTGTTCCTACTGAAACAGCAAGCCCTCCAGGTGAGGCTCACTGGTGAAATAAGAGAGAAACGTGCACCATTGAAGCCCTTCTTGTTAGCAGTCCGCTCCCTGAAGACAGGGCGCTCTGCCCTTTTGCATCCATCTCTATGCATCTGATTTAGAGAAATAGCATCTCTGCTTTAGGTCTGGGTTTAGTGGAAACTAAACATGCATGGAAAGAGAAGGGGGAGCAATTCATGTCATGCCCATTTAATAATCAGAGGTAGAGTCCTGTTTCTTCAGTACCCTTCACAAGGACCTGTTTTATTTGGGAGATTACATTAAGTCTATGCAATTTTGCATAATATATATGGGATAGTTTGAAGGAAGTTTTCCATTCTAACCAATACAATGATGCAGTAGATGTTAAAGGAATATACACCTATTTACCTGCTAGTGGAATAACTCTTTGGACGAAAAAAAATCAAATATCATCTGAAGGTTATCGGGCTCCTGCAAGTAGCCGAGCTACCAAACTCCACCCTGGTACCCTGACAGGAGATAGCAGGCCCCGGGGTGAATGAATAAAAAGCATTATGCGTGTGCATTTGCTGTTTTGCTGATAGTGACTTCTTCACAGGTAAGCAATCCAGTGTGTTTACTTTCAGTTCAAGTTTGTTTTGTTTACATTGAGTACCATTGCTGCTAACTTCCAATGAGGTGACACAAAGCAACAGGTTACAAAAATGCTATCAACATCCATTCTGACAGCATCCATGTCACAATACACAATGATGTACCGGAATTATACAAAGACAAAAAAAAATATATATATAGCTAATTATTCTGACTAGAACTGAAACGGACAGCGAAAAAGAAAAGAGCCCCCCGCCCTGACCCCGAAGCCCCTGCAGGAATCCATACTGACGCTTCGGCAGCCTCGTAGCAATAAAGCGATAACCAGCCCTTCACATGCCAAAACCTTGTTTTTGTAACATCGTGAATTCCTGGCTCGGAGACATAGTTACATCCATTAAAGCACTTTTTTTTTTTTCTTTTTTCTTTCCACCCCCCAACCTGAATCAGCTTCACGTTTTTACACAGGGTTAATACTTATTAAAAATAATAAACAAATGAGGGGTATAGGCACCATAGACTGCTCGGACAGTTAAATGCTATAGTAATGGAGTCTAAGAAATCCCAGCTTGAAACTCAGCTGCCCTTTGATTAGATTCATCTAAAACAAGAGCCTGATCAGTGGCGTTACTGAAAAGGTTGGCGAAAAGAGCAATCCTTCTGCTTAATTAGTAGTAGCGCAGCCAAGAACCGAAACCACCCCATCTCTCAGTGTCGGCTGCCTGCTTCAGCTTCAGGCTTCATGGTTTGGATTTCTGCTCGTCAGTCCGTTCCTTGGGTCTTGTGCTCCCCCCAGACCCCACGTACATCAGTGCTGTAGGAAACAGTCAAATCCATGTACCCAGCAACCCCCACCCCCCCTTTTCACAATCTCCAGATTTCTTCATGTATGTTCATGCCTTGCTATTCTCTAATGAGGTATTATTAGATACTAACAATGCCTGCTCTCCTATGGACGTTAGCACAGACCAGTGACACATGAAGAAAGCTCTTCAGTCAACCATTAAAAAAATATTGCACTTACTTTAACCTTAAGCCCAACCTGCACAGAAAAAAAGATATTAAAAAATTAACAAAAAGTACCAAACAAAAACCCAACACTCTGGAGCAATCTGTTTTATGCACATATAGTGTCTTTTCCTTCATGTTGTTTAGTTGAATTTGGTCCAGTATTTTAAAAAAAGTCCAGAAATTAAACAGTTCAAAAGACACCGCAGGCTTGTTAAGGCTTTGTCTCCCCAGTGCTTCGGAAAGTTAAAAGTTTCTTTCTTTTATTGTCCGTGTACTGCAAAGCAGCGGTCTCTCATGGCAGAACAACTGGCCGTTCAAACCATCAAAAGAAAAAAAATCAGAAGCAAGGGAAGATGGGTGTGCTTCATGGTCTTACCTGGAACCAAACAAACAGAATGCTTTAGAAATAAAAAAGGAAATAAATACAGTTCTTGGCATTTATTTTTATCAGCCCTCTGTACAGGCTGGGACTGCAGCCCACCAGTACAAGCAGCTGGGCTCTGGGACTCAGACTGGACGGTAAACTACCCGAATATTAGGAAAAGAAGTGAGGCAAATTGGCGTTCATTTCACGGGCAGGGGAATGACATACGCAGAGGCTAATAAAGGCTCATGCGCAACACCAGAGACGCACAGCAGAGACTGCTGGTGTCAGTGCCCACAGTCCAGCTCTCCACCAGCTATTTGAGAAGCCAGTTTGTAGCTTCCTGCTTCACCCAAAAGCAAGTATTAAGGTAACGGCTGCGTTACTACTGCCACCTAATGACCTAAAGCTCATTAGCTTAAACAGGAGTGACGTACGTCCTTACAGCTTGTCCCCACCAGCAAACCTCTTGGCAGGTCAGAGCCGTGTGTTTTACTCTGCAGCTGGGGACTGGGCTGGGCTGGTTGCGTGCAACAGCTCAGGCGCTGGGGCTCAGTGGAAAGGCAAGATGGTGCTTCGCTTATACTAATGATAGTTCCAGTTCGAGATCCCTCCTGTTCCCTGGTTCTAGATTTATGAAAAAAATTTCCCAGTGTTTCACGTCAGAGCTTTTTTGTTACCATCTCGCCCTCCAGCAGGCTCTGTTGCCACAACAGCAGTGCTGGCAGATCATCCCCAAACCTCTGCTGGCCGTGGTAACCTGGCAGTTGGTAAGTGACTTGAGAATGGCTGAAGATTAAGTCCTCCTCTCCTTTAAGCTTTGTAGGGAGTGTTAGGACAAGTGGCAGGGAATGGTTAGATGGCTCACTCAGGATTTCTGGATTCTCTTTTTCTTCGAACAATGAGTGAGCCAATATACTCTTACAGCACGTGGAAAGTATAGCGGATTATTTACTGCAAGAGGCTAGAGGGATTTTCCGCGCACTCTCCATGTGAAGATCTCCTCAGAGGGGGATGAAGCCCGGAAAGCTCCAAACCACCAGCAAAGCTCCTGGAGCAAATATCCATGATGCTGGTTGCTGCCAAGCAGCCGGGATTCGAGGCTGTGGGCATGGCACAGGGCCGGGCTTGCCTGACTTACCACCTGTGACTCTGAACTAGGACTTGCTGACGTTCTCATATATGACATCGCTGATGCAGAACTGCTGCTTCTTCTTTTGCCACATCAGTTGCACACACTGGTGAATAAAAATGTATTGTTCCTGGAAGAAAAGACCAAATGAGCGGGCATTTTTGCACCTCAGAAAGCAGGACAAAAACCTGAAGAGTGAAACAGTTTGATAGTTCACAGTAACAGCCTGCACAGCTTTGCCATCTCTCCCTCCTCAGCCCCTCGCAATGTTGTCAGCTCCCAAAATGATAGCCTGCAATTCTTACAGATAGCAGCTGGGGAAGCACAAAGTCCACCTGAGCTGCCCCGGCATCATAATCATTTATTAAGAACCTGAATGATGATGGGAGATGAGAAGAGAAGAGAAGAGAAGAGAAGAGAAGAGAAGAGAAGAGAAGAGAAGAGAAGAGAAGAGAAGAGAAGAGAATAGAATAGAATAGAATAGTATAGTTCAGCTGGATCTGAGCTAAAGTGGGTCTACTTTATATTGCCTGAAAATGGATTAATTCCCAGAAAGGTACCTGAATGCTTTATGTGCAACAAATTGCATCTGTGCCACATACGCACCTGAAATATTTTAATGAACTTCATGTTCCTTTGTGCTTGACTTTTTTCTTTACCAATAAAAAGCTGAAACCTGATTTTGTTCACAGAGCAGCTAATTATTTGGGGGTTTGTCAACCTCTGTGCAAATGACACTGTAAGTAAGTCGGGTCAATCACATGCACCGTTATGTTTGTGGACAGGTTTTTGTGCAACAAGACTGTGGTTATTTTTGGTTTTGGTTTTGGTTATGGACTGGCTTTTCTAAGCATTATCATAATACAGATTAAACACTGTAATTCAATTTGGAATAACCTTAATTGATGACTTTTAGATTTCAAAGAGAGAGAAGGCGAACCCTGGTGAATCCTTACACTAAGCTTTATGTGCACTAGGCAGAGGGAGCAAGTGGATCTCAAGCAAAAACAACTGTCCCAAAACCCGAGATTTCAGCCCCTGTCCCCAGTGGTCTGCTGATGCCAGGAGATATCAATATGAGTTTGAAGCATGTTTCAGACCACAGAATTTCCTCACACCCACTAATTTGGAATGACTTGTTTCAATTCAGGGTATTCTCCAATCCAACCCCCCTTTTTGGGCCTGCACCATTTGTTTTTTTAAACTGCTCAGTGAGACACTGCCAAGTTTCCAGTGTACGAGGCAACATGAACCCAGGTGAGCTGTGTGTGGTTTCAGATTTTTAAGGAAAGCCTTTGGGTGGCCTCTGCACCTGGGTGCCAGTGCCAGTGCCACCTAGTGACCTCTGCGGCCAGGCTCGGCCACTGCCTGGAGCAGCAGGAGCTCAGTGACCACCAAAGCCCAGCCCTTGCCATCAGCTCCAGGCAGGCAATGTGTTAGTACATGAAAAAAAAAAAATTAAAAAAAAAAAATCACATCACCTCTGGAGCGGTAACACAGTTGCAGCTGAAATCAACCATCAGGATTTGTTTCGCTGGTGTTTACATAAGGATCTGCCTTTGGATACAGTGAATTGTGATGAAAAGTGGTAGTTTGACGGGAATGATCCAGAATGGTCTGAGAATAATGACCTTCCTTCATTTCTAGACGCTTGCTGTTGTCACTGCAGGTTTTCCTCCCCCTCTCCTCACCCTGCTTAATCTTCTTTGCTTTGCTCTGCTCTGGATTCAACTATCCTTGGCAACAAAGTGTCTGCCAGACCTACCCTGCAATCAGTGATGGTGGCACTTCCAACTGTATGGAGGTTGCCAGCTTATACTGTGTCTAACCAGTGAAGAGTGAAATCTTTCCCTCATAAGCAGAGAAACTGGGAAGATTTCAGAGGCATAAAAACATCTGCTTTGGAAAAAAGAGTTTGTGATTTTTTTTCCGTTATATATTCTGACAATATGACTATTCTTCTGACATTTACCTTAAAAACAGAAAAAGAATTACTCAGTAGATATTTGGGCAGGGAGAGGGGCAAGGAGGGTGCCTGGCAGACTCACAATCCTTTTGTCTGGTTTGCTTGTTATTTGTATGACCATTGTGTGACTGAGTTCCTACGCTTGGCCAGATGGTGATACCTTCTTGAACAAGCGTGAATGGCTGTCCAATACTGATATCATTTCATGAGCTATTAATCCCCTCAGCAAGCCCAATTCTTTTCAAAATGGTTTGAAAATTTCATACGTTAATCTCTTCTAATGCATTTTTTCCACATTCATTTCACAGAAGGTGAGAATAACTCCTCTCCTCTGGAAGACATCAGTGAGATTGCAGATATATTATCAGACCCACCTATGCGGCAGATTAAGAATGTGACAATATTACAATGAAGCTGAAAACTTAATTGTATCTATTCATAGCTATTTTGTCAAGTGTTCAGGGGAAACAACAGTCGTTGGAGATGAACACGCTACAGAGAGGTATGAAATAGATCCGATGATACATTCACAATGTTGAAGTGAACTATCTTACCTCTGTCTGCACCATGGACATTCTGTAGGACCGCATGTCAGACACCAGGCCCAATATATCTACGAACTCATGATCACGGATGTGCTGTAAGAGCCGATCCAGGGCTATGAAGGTTCCTGTTCGTCCCACTCCGGCACTGCAACACACACAGACATGCATCTCATTTCAGGCTTTTCTGATGGGGTGTGCTGGTTTTGGCTGGGATAGAGTTAATTTTCTTCACAGTAGCTAGTACGGGGCTATGTTTTGGATTTGTGCTGGAAACAGTGTTGATAACACAAGGATGTTTTTGTTGTTGCTGAGCAGTGCTGACACAGAGTCAAGGCCTTTTCTGCTTCTCACCCCACCCCACCAGTGAGTAGGCTGGGGGTGCACAAGAAGCTGGGAGGGGACACAGCCGGGACAGCTGACCCCAACTGACCAAAGGGATATTCCATACGATATGACATCATGCTCAGCATATACAGCTGGGGGAAGAAGGAGGAAGGGAGGGACGTTCAGAGTGGTGGCGTTTGTCTTCCCAAGTAACCGTTACACATGATGGAGCCCTGCTTTCCTGGAGATGGCTGAACACCTGCCTGCCGATGGGAAGTGGTGAATGAATTCCTCGTTTTGCTTTGCTTGTGTGCGCTGTTAAACTGTCTTTATCTCTTGAGTTTTCTCACTTTTACCCTTCCGATTCTTTCCTCTATCCCACTCGGGGGGAGTGAGTGAGTGGCTGTGTGGTGCTTAGTTGCCGGCTGGGGTTAAACCACAACATGGGGGGACACAGGAAAATCATTGGTACTGCAAAAAGCAGGTGTCCTGCAGCTGTGATAATCAGATGTAGCTAATCTGAGGTCAGACAGGCTGGTTAATCTGTAGGATTTAATGCCGTGCAACCCTTCATCCATTGTTTAGGCAGAATGTATGGAGTGGATGGCTTTGCAATTATTTCACCTTCCTATACTTCTCTTAATGCCCTCACATGCAGAATGTGCATGCACACCCTCATCCACCCTCAGCTGTCTGCTCTTCCTGCTTTTACTGCTCCCCTCAAAGATTTAATGAGACATCTCTAACTACAGGGGCTGTAGCCATAACTGCAGAGACCTGCTCGGCAGTGATTGCTGCACAGAGGCAGCTGGGGTTGAACCTACACAATTCAGTTCCACAGCTCTCCACACTGTAAAGCTCTCGGCTTTGCAAAGGCACTACACTGCTGCAGTTCATCCTCAAAGGACGAACCACCCAGAAGAGTCTACACTCCAGGACTTCTGCCTTGGGAGCATGAGACAGAAATAGTCAGCAACCACTCGGCTGACAAATCTTCATCCCCCCAGAAAGGGAAGCTTAGTGACTAGAAAAAAGACATGCTGTTTTGATTTAGAGATTCTTATGTCCATATGATTCTTTGCATTGTGATTTCACATGTACCGTTTAAGTCTGATTTCATTATGAGTGTGGCTTTAGAGATTTTATAGAGTTTCATATAGCATCCCAACACCATACCTACTACTAAGGATAGAAGTATGTGTCTTAGCAGAAGTTCTTTCTGCTGTCTGTCATATTTTTCAGAAAAGCCTTGAAAGTATTTGCAATAAAATTTAACAGTTCATCTCAACACAGTTCAACATAACTGTCACAAAACAGGTTTGGGTTTTTTTGCTTGTGTTTAACAAAAGTGTCAATATCTCAAATGAGATGAATACAACGGAACTTCCGATCTATTTATTTGACAGATTCATTAATCGATAAATTCATTCTGTGCCTTCTTTAACGACTGAGAACAATTGCTGTTGATCAATACATTCTTTCTCCCTCCCTTCCACTAATTTCATAGCATTGCTACTTTTAATCTATGTGGTCTAAGACGTACAGTCTACTCTAAAAACACTATCTGAAAATATCTATCTCTGCTGCTAGAAGCATCCTAATTAAAAAGAAAACACTACAGTTGTTAGCTCTCTGATACTTGCTTCTATTCCTTCCCAGAACAATTAAGTGGTATATCAGGGGTTTGATTTCACAACGCTACATATAAATCTCTTCCCTGGCTTACTAGCACCTTTCTTGATATTAGCACTCCCAGAACAATATCCCCTATGAACTTCTCCATTAAGTTACAGGGGAGAGCTGCACGATTTGCTGCTTTTACAAATGCTGTTGTTGTTTTGCATTCCAGTAGAACACTTAAGTGTCTTATCTGGAAACTAGCAATGATATTGCTAGAAAAGACTGTTTTCTGGGAAGGAGCTCTAGAAAGTGCGCAAAGTGGTGGCAAGAGAGACTCGGTGCCGACCATCACATCAACACCAGGAAAAACAGTGCTGGAGGGTGCTGACCTATTGGGCAGCTGCATAACTGCTGCCTCTGGAGTGGGGGATGTAGGGTTGGCTGAGATTAATCTCATCAAGCCTTGACTTCCATTAGGAGTGTGTCACCATAATGCACACGTATTCACCCATTGCAACCCATCTATTTATGTATTTCTGAGAAATCTGTTGTGAGTAGCTCTCGCACTAGGAGCCACAAAGAGGTTTGAAGTCAGTTGGGAGAGTTGTATCAGGAACAAATCTGGTATGATATCATCACTAACATGGCAGCTGCCCCCAGGGAGGCCAAGTAAGTGAGCAATTTAATAAAAGGCCAGATGATGCACAAGAGATAGATAATCTGATAGTATTATAAAACAATGTTCCTCCCCAAAAAAGAAAAAACCCATATAACTGTTGCCATGGGATACTGGTATTACTGCTAGCACAGGATAGCGCTCTTCATGTCACCTCCCAAATGTACTGAAAGCCAAGTGACCAGAGGAGGAGGATCTGCACAGAGACACACTTCTGCAGGGCAGCAACACGCTGCGGCAGGTTGCTGGCTGGACCACACCATCCATATCGTGACAATGTGGAAATGAGAGAGCAGGGGCAGGCTCTGAGCTGGTGTAAATCAGGATCACCTGCTGTGCCTCCTGAAGCCATCTGTTTATAACATCCAAAGAGCTGACTCTACTCCAGAAAGCAGTGCCTTCATGTCTACGGCTGCAGGCTGAAATCTCAGCCCCACTGTAGTCAAAGAGGGGGACTAATCCTTTACCCTTAACACCAAAGAGAACAATCTCCAGCTAACAGGTGAGCAGAGCCCCACAATCTCTCCTTCCAATGGTTTTGCAACCTATTTAACAAGTTACACCCTTTAGTTCCCCATTTCCTTGAGGCATTTACCTGCAGTGTATGATCATGGGGCCTTTACTCTTTGCTGATTTCTGCCTGACCATCTGTACAAACTGGAGGATGCTTTCGGCAGCGTTGGTCGTGGGGACACCATGATCTGGCCAGGCAGTGTAGTTAAAATGCATCACGTCTTGCACCTCATCAGCCTAATGGGAAAAGCAGAACAGCAGCATGTTCACAGGAGTTTTAACAGTGCAGTCACGCTCAGTCAGACTGAGGGGTTTTTGTCATTTTGTGGTTGGGGTTTTTTTTTCCCCAAATACAGCCTAAGAAAGTAAAGTCAGCCAAAAAAATGGCAAAGAATTTACATGCTGTTTGATTAAAAAGGGGAGGGGGTATCAGGCCATCATTATCAAAAAGGCATGAACTCTTGTTTCTGGGTTTGGGATTTGTGTTTTGCTTTTTTTCCTCATGGTGGTTTGATTTGATTTTGCTTTTAAATCCAGGATTGTTGCATTTTTCAAGCTTAGGCTTTCTTCCTCTTTCTATTCCATTCCCTCTCCTTCTCTCGTTTTGCCGCAGATAAAGAACAACGCTGTTGGCAAACAATCAAGACTGGACTCCTGCGAGTTTTTCTTTTCAAGTTTCAAAGAAAAAAAAAACCCAAAAGGGAAGAAAAAATCATTACGGGGCAAAGGAAATATTTAGAAAAATACCCATTATTATAAAAAAGGTTTCTAATGCTAAAAACTCTAGTGGCTTTAGGTGAAATAGGATCCTCAACACAATTCATTTTGTCTTTGAGACTTAAAGGAACTCAAAACACGGGGAGGGATGCACTTCAGTAACCTCTCTCCAGTTTACACCAACAGCAGATCCTTAGGCAAAGGATATTAAAAAATGAGATCTGGGCAAAAGACCCTGAAGCAGCTGCCCTGGGTTTGGTAAAGGACAGTTTACCTGAACTGCAAGCTGCAGACTCGTCATTATTTTCAACTGATGCCAACAACCCAACACATCGTGTTTTATGCATTTGCACTCCTAGGCTGCACCCTGTGCGCACTTTGTAACGCAGTGAGGCATGGCTGAGTAGGACTAAGGTCCTGGGCCAATGCTGACGTGCCAGTGCACGGCTTTTTCACATCCCCTCCATATCTCTAACCTTTCCTTCACAAGCTGGTGCAGAAAACAAAGCTGGAAAGAAATGCTTGAAAAGTTGAACAGCTTTAATTTGGAAATTGCATGCTCTCATGTGTGTTTCAATACTTTATAGGAATATGTGAATATTGCAGAACTGCCCTTTTGAAAAATATTTTCGATTTCTACGTTGGTATTTTCAAGTTTTGAATAGCTTATAGCAAGAAGATGTGCCTGAAATAAAGAAGTTTACACATTTGTTGTCGCTAATTATTGGCACTACAGAAACGTCCGGAAGTCTGGTACTACTTTTGTTTCAGTCTTGCGCTTTGCTGAGAAATTCACAGAGAAGACAATTTTAAGGGAAAGTTTTGTGATTTAGTCATTTGCCCGTGTGGAGTGCGGGTAAGGCCATCAATCTTTCTCTTAGGTGTTTTCCATCAAATGCCAGAAATGGACAAAAGTTAAAGAAAAGGTTGGACCAAAATTACTCCCACTCTTTTAGTAGGGCCGTGCAAAATGTTTCGCTTACATAGCTAATTCGGAAATTCCTATAAACCCAGTCTGTGTGCTCCTCCTCAGAAAGCATCTCCACTGTGATGTCCCCATATGCAACAGGATCTTCCGTAAAAGGCCAGTAATGATCACATTTCACCTGAAAGGGAAATAAATGCAAACATATTTGTATTTACAGAAATATATGTATACGCATATATAAAAAAGCACAATCAAAAGTATACTGAATCTCAGTTTTAGAAATGTCTACAGCACTATTTACTTGATGCTGCAATAAAAGGTAATATATCCTGCAGTGACTTCCAGCCTGATCATTCCTATTTGTGTAATTGTGGACATAATCTATAAATCAGTTTTCTGAAGGGTAGCATTAGTATAGTGAAGAATGAAAATACATAGCGTCTTTGTAGATTGTTACTTTTCCTAATAGAATAGGTCTAAAAGGAGCAAAACATGGGGAACAAGAATATACATATAAAAAAATATATTCCAAATATTTCAATTATAATGTCAAGGAAAACGTAAAGCATAGCACTTGTATTTTATTATTATTTAAACCTAAAAGCGCAGGATCGCAGAATGGTTGAGGTTGGAAAGGACCTCTGGAGGTCATCTTGTCCAACCCCCCCTGCTCAAGCAGGGCCACCTAGAGCAGGCTGCTCAGGACCATGTCCAGATGGCTTTTGATTATCTCCAGGGATGGAGGCTCCATAACCTCTGGGCAACCTGTGCCAGTGCTCAGTCACCCTCACTACCTGATTTCAGATGGAAATTAATGTGTTTTAATTTTTGCCCATTGCCTCTTGTCCTGTCACTGGGCACCACTGAGGGGTGCCTTGTCACCATTCCCTCCCCTCAGGTATTTATACATAGTGACAAGATCCCCTGAGCCTTCTCTTTTCCAGGCTGAGGAGTCCCAGTTCTCTCAGCCTCTCCTCATGTGAAAGATGCTCCAGTCCCTTAATCATCCCAAAATGCCTGCCATAAGTGAATGAAGTGCCATTCCAGGTCTGGTTATGATGTTGCCTCACGATCAGAAAACGATACAAAGAAATTCACTCACCAGAAAATAAATATGTTTTCAGAGTAGTTTCTTTTATACTATGTGCAAGATTTTGTTACATACCCTTCTTTTCTCATTACACTGAGTGAGCATAACAATAATTTGAGATTTTTGCTGGAGAACCATCTTCCAAAAATCATTCCTAGTTTCTGGCAGTGGTCCTTGGGTTGCAATGTATTCCTGGGGTGAATTATAACCCTAAGAAACAAAAAGGTGCTGTTTACCAACATGATTACTGCTTCAGAACACATATTTTTCTCTGGCATACGTATTTTTTAGCCTGCTCAAGTTCAATTTGTACTTTTAAAAGTGATTTCCAATATGAAGAAACTACTTCATGATTTTTTGTATTTATTTTGAGATTACAAGTTTTGCCAGTTTTTGATGGTCCCAAAGTGTAAGCAATCTAGAATGAAGGACAGAAGATGAAGCTGTTACTATACAAAACCTTTTCCCAGAAAGCAGGAAAGGCAACATTAAAAAAACAAGTAATGAGAATCCTAAATCAAAGTTCCAGCTTCTTCCAGGTTTCATAATTTAAGGGGTTGTTTAGTTATAGACATAAAACCAATTACAGACGCTTAGCCTGCTCATCCCAAGCAGTGCCTGTGGTGATTTTCAGTCACTGATGTAAATGGAAGGTAGCAATGAACAGGATTATATGCATGTGTTTATGTCATAAGGAATTAAATTAGTAAAATATTAATTAGAATTCTGCTTAAAATAATAGAGAACATGCTGAGTCAACACCCTTAACAGATTATCATTGCTATGTTTTATTGAAGCTCAGATGCTTTATATCCATGTATTCCTTCTCCTATCCCTATCAACACCCTTTTAGACGGAAAGACTCCTTCCCCTCTCCAAAACCAAAAGACCATTACAAAGACTATAATAAAAGATCCACAGAATGGCCATTTTGGCATCTGCTATAACCATATTTGCTGAGATTGTATCATCAAAACCACATTTGGAAAGTTATTTGATATTCCTAACAGAAGGAAAAGATATATCCCACACACAGCATGATCCCATGTAAATTGGGCAATTTCTGTGCCACCACAGTATGCAGACTGTAAAAATATTAGTGATTTGGGAGCACTTTCCATAAACGCCTTCCTCCAGACATCTCTCGAAGTCAGCTCAATCTGAGTTTTTGCGCTACACAGAATTTGCTGGTTTTTTGTCTGCATGGGCTACGTCTGATCTAAGTGTCAAATCTCTGTTATCACAGAGACACAGGTCACCACTAGTATCTGGGTTTGGAGGCAGGTACGCAGTGGAGAAGCAATCATCAGGAAAAGCCAAACATTAAGATGACATGTCTGTCCCAGTTTCTGTGGACAGCATTATGCTATAAGTAGAACTAAAGAGATGTAAACTATAAAAAGCAGAACTGAGCAATCCGAAAAGGACTGCTACATAAAACCCTATTATCCATAATCCCACGTCTCAGAAGTTTCCTGAGTTGTGAGTGATGCTTTTGAACGCTGGAACGTTTTTCTTTCTTGATTCACTGCAAGCTCAGGCAGTTGCAGCTTGAGTGTTCAGGTTCATGCCCTTGACACATAGAAACTAAGTACAGGCAACGTGCTCAGCAGTACATGCATGGGCAATGCCACAGTGGCAGAGAAGTGGTTTCACTGACTCATCTGAGGGCTCCTCCCTTTTCCATAATGCTGACTCAGCTCTCTCCAGCACAGCCAGGGCCAGCTCTGTCTTCTGTTCACGGCAAGGGTGCAGAAGTGCTCATCTGTCTATGGTCCCCAAGTGAAAGGCCTTTTTCTAAATGGACGCCATAGCGTACTGCCTCCTCTCCATGCAGAGCGACCCAGTGGACGTTGCTCTCCCTAACACAGCTCACACTGAGCCACAGCAAGGGGGGGATAACAGAGGCGCAAACCTTTGCGGCAGTGGCAGGGTTAAGCCTAAGTGACTGCACAAGCTTGGGCGAGAGTGGAAAGAGCTGATGAGGTTTTTAGCCTCCCCTCCCAGTGTCAAACTGTTTGACTACAGCTCTGTGTATACTTCAATTATCCTAAAACTCTGGGTGCTACTCCCTGGTAAATGGCTGCTCTATGCCAGGCAGAGGGAGGCACGCTGGGAGCACCAGAGATGAGGCAGGAAGCAGAAGCTCTCTCCACGCACCGTCTGGGCTGTGTGCATTTTGTCAGTTGTGGAGTGTCTGGCTTAATCCTTTTTCCATGTGCTGTAGAAACCTGGAAAAATTTCTTTAAAGTTTCTCATGCTTTTCCTAGCTGTCTTAAAAAGCCATGGGACCACTTAACATTTCCTCCCCATTTCTCTACCCGTCCAATCTAGGTTTCACAAAGATTCACACACAGCTCACCCAGTGCTACTGTGGCAAAATTTGCCAAAAATCTCCCCACACTCCTTTCTTCCCCCCCCCCCCCCCTTTTTTTTTTTTTTTGGTGGCTGTTCCCTGCAGGCAAAATACTGGAAGCTGAAGGAGATGCTGAGAACGTGATTGAGCTTCCAGCAGATATTGTGCTATTTGCAGGCGATACGCTCTAGCTGCTGTGCAGGGGACTGTTCTTTACACTGACCAAGTCTCTTTACTCACAGGAATGTAGTTGGCGTTAATGTAATCAGATCCCTCTTCTTCATTCATTGAAACTAACCGGACACGACTAAAATCATCTGTGAAAGAAAAAAAATAATAATTTGGCTCTCAAATACGGCACTCATCTCCAAGTAGGCAAAATAAAAATTAATCCTATAAAAACTGAAAACAAATCTATTAAAAAATAGAGAATGCTCATATTTACTGACAGAGAGCAATGTTTGCTTCAGCAAACACTACATGGATGCACGATCGTTACTGTTCTGCAAAATACACCCTCCAAATGCCATCCCTTTGGGCTCCCTTAAGTTTCATTAAAATTGTAAGAAAAATATAGTAACACTACTCAGTAGCAGAAACGACCTTGTGTTTCTCACCTCCAAACTCCTGTCTTGATAAACATCCCCAGAAAGCTACGTCTCTTGAAAGCTAAGAAAAAACATCTATTGCCTGGTTCTCTCTAAGGGCATGTTTTAGAACAGGCTTTTATCAGTCAGAAAATCTGTCCTGATTCTCCAATTCTCTTATTAAAACTCTACTTTTCCTCTCGAGGGACTTTAGCAGGAGTCTGTATGTATTGTACTTACATGGCAGGATATTTGTGTAGCGATTTTTACAGCGATTCATGGGAAGATCAGCAGCAAAGTGGGGTATGTCAAGCCCAATCAGTTTTAGCTCCTGGGGTAAGAGAAAGAAAAATGCCAAGGTCAAACTCAGAAACACTCAAAAACCGAATTCTTTGTCAAGTGATTACTTGTGGCAGGTACCAGGCTGAAAATGTTCATAAATCACTCTATAAACTGACAGCAGGATTACACTGACTTTCCTTAACTGATGCCTCTGAGTTTGGCTCCAAACAGCTAGAGAGCAATGACGTGGTCTCTCCTGCTGATGCTGCCAAAGGACTGCTGCCATCCAAGGCTGTTAACTGCGGACCGCTCCTCTCTACGTGCACTTAATTAGCCAAAATAGTGTCAAACCAGGGGGTTGATAAGTTATTTCTGTGGTGGTGACCCACCCCACTTAAAGGGTTTTCTTCAAGCCCTCAAGTGGCTTTTGATCTTAATACTGGGGAATGCTTGGAAGATCCTTCTAGTCATTACCTTCAGTAGCTACATCTGATGCATCAGAGGACTTGTCACTGGCAGGAAGGGAACATGTCAGCCACCCAGAATGGTGGTAAAACCCTGACAGTCCTCCCCACTCCTTTTCCGTGTTTAAATCTCTGGGAGCTAGCCCTAGGATAGGAGCTTTTTAGTTTTATACTACTAAACTGACTTTAAATTCTAGGTAATTAAGAGAATGTACCTGAACTGGTCTTAGAGAGACCTTCTTGCTCTTAAAGAGATTTTTGATGTTACCTTCTCATTCCAATGCTTCCCCTCAAATTAAGGGCATTAAATAAATAAAACAAAGACATTAAAATCCTGAATTCAATTCAGGCTGCCAGCATGTCCTAAACTTAAAAGAATTGTGTTGGTCTGACAATTATCTTGAATCAGATGTGATGAGCCACTCAAATCAGCTTGCTAAATGCAGTCTTTAACAACACTGGAAGTGTCGAACTGGCAGAACTGGAAGTGAAGCTGACCCACCTAGCAACAGCGCACATTAAACAACACAGGAATACACCACAAAAACCTCACATCTGGAAAAAGCTGATCTAGGCATGGCAGGAGAGGACAGAGTCCCTGCAGATTTACCTCAAATTGCAGAGAAAATTTATAATCTGAATCTTTGGCCATATCCTTGATGTAGCCATCAAAATCATCCAACTGGACAGGGCTTTAAAAGAAAAACACACAGAAATTAAGGAAAAAAATAAACTTTTTAAAATCCTGAGGTTCAGTGCCACCAAATGGTGGGCATATTGCTCATTACCTGCATCCTACCATAATGGCACCAGAAAGAGAGGCTGAGAGAGGGGTGCTGGTCCCCCTGGGTGAGCTGAATGTGCAGCTGCTGATGCTGATGCTAGTAAGCGCCCTGGTTTTGAGGGGGTTGGAGTTGTCCTACCCGAGGGAAACCACTGGTCTGAGGTGAGGGGAATGGCCCGTGCACCCTTCCTACGATTCCCTGGCCCCTGAACTGCTTTTACAGGTGGGTATGTCCCCAAGGCACAGGTGGCAGTGCAATAAGCGGTGATCCAGCACCCCATCGCAGACCCACTCCCAGTACCACCCCACCAGCGTGCTTCTGGCACCGGGGCAGCTGCTGCTTCATTTAAGTTGCCTCTTGTGCCATATAAAATGTTGCTTTCAGATATCTTCACATCTGGCAGAGACACTTTTAAAACTCACCTCAGCTTTGCTCGTGCAGAAAAATGGATTTCATATTTAGGTTTTGATTTTGTTAGAAAGCCCACAAAAAAAAAAAAAAAATCCCTTAAAATAGCATTTTGGATGCCACTGCTGTGACTACTTCCTCTGCTGGCTTTGAGAAGTATACACATTTGCTATTAGAGGTCAAATTCTCCTCCCAGAGAGATGGTGGCTAAAAAAAGTGGCATATAACTATACAAAACCATGCAGAGCTTCAGCAGGTATAAATTAGCCTTGATTTAGCGACTCCCATCATTCTACACAGGTTTTCATCAGGTGGGGGTCTATGTGTTAGAACAGGCACAGCCTCTGAACATAACGGAGAAATAATTACGCTAACACTCTGAATAACAAAACACAGATAAACAGCTTCCCTCATCTAATTATCATGCTCTAATTTACAAGCTACTGAAGCATGTACACAGTAATCTTTTCATTTACTTTGAGGCAATAGGCCCAAAGGAACCTGTCTTATCACCACTTAATTACTCCTGTTTACCCGTTAGCATTAATGATCTAATGTTCTAGCAACAACCGTAATGAGATCCTCATGTCAAGAGGGAAATATCACTAGAAACAATGCATCCCAGTTTTTCACCATTTGTCATTTTTAACTAAGGATAACCTCTGTTGGAATCACTAAGTTGGATAATTGATCTTTTCTCCAATGACTAATTTTCTATCAGTAAGGAGCTGTTTTACCACAACCTATCTGTTGAGAAGAATTGCTTTTGTCCAATTATTGTTTGTTTTCTGCCTTCAGACATCTCTCTCAGGACGTGTTTACCAAGAAGTTTTCTATATCTGTAACTGCGACATCACTATACCATGTACTCCATAATGCATGTTAGTTTAAGGTGATATATTTTTAAAATTTCTTTAAATATCAAAGAGGTTACATACTTGGTCAGCTTTCTCTTCTTTAATCCATTTTTACTCCTGTAAAAAAAAAAAAAGAAGAGTTTTTCATTCATTAAATTATCGTATAGTCTTTATTCAAAGTTAGTACTGAATTAAGAACATATGTTTTCCGGTCACTATCATACTCAGGATGAGATTGGTGATAATATTCTTGGACATTTTTAAGCTGATAGCAAAATTTCCATTGACACCGATGGGATGCGTTTTCCATTCTGTGGCTCTGAGAACAACCTGCTTGTGAAAGGGAAAGCCTGTGCCCAACACAAGCAATGGGTCCTCTACAAATCCTGACCCAACAGCGCCGTTGGCTTCAGGTGGGCTGGGGCTGAGTCCCCGGGGCCCGAGCCCGGCCGAGCCTGGCAGGGGGCTGTGCTGTTGCAGGGGACGGGGCGCCACGGTGCCCTCCGGGCTGCTCCGCTCCAGCTCTAGCAGGCTGGGAAACTGTATGCCAACACTAGAGAGCTACCAGGAACGAGAAGCGTCTGTTGGGTAAAGGGAGAAGACCACCATTTGCAGATTCAAGGAAGGGTGAAGGAAAAAGGAAAGGGCCTGAACACTATTTCTCACCCATTTCATAACCTGCTTATGATGATCAATGAAGACAATGGCAAATATCCTACTGACTTCAGCGGGACTCAAGCTTAAACCTTAGATAATTTTAATTGACTTTTAACAGCTAGAGATAATTATGCCAGTCATGTAACACACTGTCTTCACATGATTTATAAGCGATATAATTCACTAGCGACAGCTGCGAGCAAGCTTATGAGTGCGTTAAGCAGTGTAACCCATAAGATACGGACTTAAGAATTGCACTACACTACCACCATGTGTTTTTTTGGAGTGGGCGTGTGTGCGTGTTCATTTTGTTGTTGCCACGAAAAAGTTAAGCAATCAATCAGATTAAATGCACAAAGTGAGCACCCTGGAATAATTTGGCTAGAGGTCTGAAAACACTGATCCCCTTTGTTAAACCAGCCACAGAGCACAAATAGATTCTTGCTTACTCAGAAGGGATTTTAGTGGTGTCATTTTTTTTTTCCCCTGGGCATTAAACAATATCTGTTCATTCATCACATTATAATGATGCTATTTTTAATTTCATGATGATATTAAAATGATTTCTAGATAACTTGGGTCACAGCTTCAATTAGTAAATTAAAGGTGAAGACTTTTAATTTCAAAACAATGAAAATATACAGAAAGAAATATTAAAAACTGGAGTATTTTTATTTTTCTACCCTGCTAAGTTTAGAAGTGAAATAAAAAAAAAAATTTCATTTCCAAAATTAAGTTTTATAAAATGTTCAGGTTTTGGAGCAGCCACAACCTGTAGGAATTTTGTTATCTTGTCAAGGTACATTTCCATCTAGATGTGGAGCTTTGCCTGCAGAGTTAACAAGAGTTATAGCAATACCAGCTTTACACTGATGTGGAGCTTTACTTCACAAAGCTTTACTTTGCAAATATTACAAACCTCTTCAGCCTACCATGTTATCTATACAGATACTATCTGTATAGTATCTGTACATTCATGTGTACTATACACATAGCCTAGTAGTAATTATTCTACATCTTCAAAGATTTTTTTCCAATTAAATCTTAAAATTAATTTCTCTAAATTATTCAACACATTTCTATCCCCTGTGACTATGATAAACCTTTTAACGTAGGGCACATTGGAATTCATTTCAAAAGAAAAAAACATCTAAATGCTGTTTATGATATGAATGCTTCTAAAAATGCTTCTCCAAGGAACACTTCAAGAGGCAAAAACCCAAATGATTGACATACATTTCTCAGCAACAATTTCTTGTGCTTTGATAGTCTCAAAAGGCCTTTGTTTCTTAGCATTGCAATTGTTTCCTGAATGTTCATAAATGTTTTAAACCAACTGGTGTGCAAAACAAAGACTTTTGAAACATTAGCTGGTGTTTCATCTATTCTTCCATTTACCCCATGATTAAAATACAAAGAGAGGGATTCATCTCATATCATTCAACTCCAGCTCCTTTAAACTTGGTCTTCTAGACTAATCTAGGTAGCTTGATTGAAGAGAAAACCTCCGAAGAAAGATACACATCTGGAAAGGTGAGTTAATGTGTATTAATGCATATTAAACAAAAAGAGGCAAAGGGTCAAAAGAAGATGGCAACTCTTTTTGCAGCAGTGCTACTGGCAGTGGCCACCTTGGGCATCTTGGCCATTAGAGAGTTCAGGGAGATCAGTGTGACCTCCACAATAATAAACTGCTTGCCTGATGCTCCAAAACTGTGCAGCTCCGATAGTTAGTTGAGTTTATGTATGTCAGACAAGTCAATATAATATTAGCCTTGGAGAGATGTGGAAGACTTCCATCTGCTCTTCAGCTGGGTGTGTGTGGAGAATATGCTTTTATTTTCATGGGAGAAGAAATGGACTTTTCTTTAGTTCCATAACCCCACTCCTTTCTGGGCCCACTGAAAATTTAGATGGGTTTTTCTACAGACTCAATGTAACCCGAGGAAAACCAGTCTCAGGAACCCCTATGCTGAAGATGTCGGTGACTGCCTGCCAGGGCTTTGGTGTCATATGGTAACACCAGGGAAAACGTCTGGTCAAAAGTAAATCTTAACTTCGGTACCACATTTTTGTAAATCACTATACCTTGGACTCAAGACCATCAGGAACTTAAGTTTCTTTTATATAAATTAAGTATTTTTAGATCACACTCAATTATAAGTATTTGTTAAATGGTTTGTAAAACAGTTCTGGTTCTAAATAGACCCTGTGGCTTTGTTAGTTAGGTATTTTCAAAAAAACCAATCAGTCGTTTACTAAGCCTTTATAAATTATTTACAGACTAAACTATTAAATACACACACATAACACAGAGACGCGCACACAGTGACCCAATTTTACACTTTGGGACTGCTAGTTTGTATCGATTCTCAGTGAACTGTTGTTTCCAAAAGCAAAACTTTTACTGTTGTCAGGAGAGCATAACCGCACCTTTAAAAACTAAAGTATTTGACAACACACACCAAACAGGTGGGGTACAATCAAGCAATTTTAGTAATAGAAAAGCAGCAGCAGGCAATGCCAGCCAATGAACAGATGAATAACTGGGACAGAAGAAGCCAGGACTTATAATGAAGTGGCAAAAATTGCAAAGAGAGCAATGAGATGAATATGATGACCACCATAAGATTAGCTTTTTAATACCAAAATGGGTTGGAGCATAAACAGACAAACTAGATGAAGCAGGGTAGCAAATACTTTGATACCCACATCCTCTCCAATCCATGTTCTAGTACAAGAAAATTATATCTTCAAAAGCTTTGACCCGTTTGAAAACAAAGGTATCACACATTTTTCATGTAATAGAAATTAACATTGTTTACACATTGCATATGGAAAAACAAGTAAATCACTTACCAAGGATTAATATAAAATGCCAAAAGATAATCAGTCCAAAGGCATGAGGGTAGCAGAGTTAGGAAAGCAAATACACTTCTACGCCTGTGAGCATTAATAAATAACATACATAAAGATGAAAAAGTGAGGAGAGTTAGTAAGACAAACAGAAATCAGGAGATCAGCAAATTCTATTTTAAAAATCAGCTAAACCCATAAAGGTTTCCTCTTACTTACTTTGTAAGACTATTATTAGCATCCATAGAATTTTTACTCCTCAACCTGACACCCTATGCAGGATTTTCAGCTATCCAACATAAAATTCTATATGATCAAAATAAATGTGTTTTATGGTCTTGATTCAGGCCTGTTACTCTAAATCGATGTTAATTGATAAACTGACAGATTTTCAGAGAGTAAAATGTGTTTGAAAATTTCATCCACAGGTTCACGGCCATTACATAGGTGGTGCTAAGTCCATTTTCTGATGTTTTGAGATATTTCAGGACAGATATAGTTTGTTTTTACCATGTACAGCTATGATAATCTCCCACATTTGCTCCTGCAAGTGATCCTGTGGATATCAGAACATCTGTATCAGAGATAAATTCAGATCATTCTAATATCTCTTAATACCCTCTATTGAGTCAGATTTCTGAAAACATCCGTATAACGTTTTGCAGAGTCCCATTTTTAGGTGCTTTAAATTCTTTCCTAGGTTTTCAGCAAAACATTATTTGAACTTCTTCTAACTGTGGTTTCTATGAATAACTATTCACAGCAGGTTTCATCATGGCTAAGGAAATTTGAATACAAAATCATTCTAAACTTCTGTATTTGCAACCTGTTTACCTGATTCTGCTATGTGTTAATCCAGGAAACCCAGCCAGGCCTGTTCTACCTATTGGTGGAGTGGGCTACAGGTACTTTGAAAATGTGGAAAACTCATGAAACTCAAACAAAAATTGCCCCAGTAGCAGGACTTTTTGCCAAATACACCCTCAGCATGTTTTTTCCCCATCAGAAAATTTGCTGTCCTAAAAGCCATATCATCCTTCTACAACTGTTCCGAAGAGGAACTACAAAGTGAAATTTCCTTTTTCAGTACTCTTGGCTCTTATGAAGTCAGTAGATACTGTGTTTTCCCTGACAAGCAAGTCACATCAAATGTAATCATCTCTAATCTTAATCTTCCAACCAGTGATGGAAAACTTCTGCTCACACAGTGAAAACTCCAAGTTATTCTTTAATGAGTTTTGCTGCTGAAGAGAAAATGGGCAGCGCAGTTTCTGCAGGGCACCTTCCCCAGGCATTGGTAGGGATCGTCTGGGTCAGCCAGAAGCGAGAACCCTTTCTAGTTAATCATATGCCATACTGGTTGCAGCATCAGGGCCTTGGGGCTTATCCATTAGGGTTTCTATGGGCCTGGACTGAGGATGAAATTTGGTTTTCCATAAGCAGATCTCTGGTGCCACAGAGAGGTTTTCACCAGGCTTGGAAGAGAGAACTGATGATGTTGCTGGAATACTCCTCTTTCCTTTGGGAAACTCCGAGTGAGGTTTTTACTTCCTCTTGCCTACAGAGGCAGAAGGAATTATTCAAGCCTGGGTCTTCTTTCATTGTTAAATCGTCATGAGAAATTTCCACACTTTATCAAATCACAGGCTAACGTGCTGGCAGACCTACTTATACTGTTCACAGATTAGGAACTCTGACATCTAAAACAATTGATTTCATTCAACATATGAAGAATACGTGATTGCCCAATAAATACAGTATCGTTTTCCTGGAATTACATAGTCTTTCACCTACTGCTCAGGTGTACTGAACAATTTTATTTAATTAAAAGAGAGAGGTGCGGAGATTGCTTAAATCCTGAAAACTGCTGAGCTGAGCTTTTCTTAGGAGTCAGCGGATATCCCCATAGCTCCCTTACTAGATCCCTGGAATGACCTCAAGCAAAATGGGTTTCTTAATCCTTCTACCTGTCTTTAGGGCCATATTTTCCATTTGTCTGCCTGGATGGCCAGTGAATCTGGTCTTGACATTAGACAACAGCGGCACACAGAACAAGATATCTTTACTAACTCTCAGAGAAGTCAGGACCACAAGATTGGGGCACACTGCCTTCAGTTATCAAAAATTTGTGAAGATATTAAGCGGGAATATTTTCCCCAATTTATATTTTTATAACATAATTTATGTATGTATACATATATGCATATATACACACATATATACACACACACATACACATATACTAAATCAAGAAACAAGAACCTTCACTTTCACATCCAAACCTATTAATTAATTCCCCTTCCCATAAAAAAGCCTTTTATGGTTTTAATAACGTCTGTTCCTAGTTTAATAATTTGATTCAAGCTTGGATATTTAATTAACATGAGTGTTTGATCTTCTGCCTTCTTTGCCATTAATATCGTCCAAGCAAGAGAAGCTGAAAGAGAGATTAGTTTGTACTGCATACAGCTGGCTGCTATTAAAGCTAAACCAAGCAAGTGAAGCTTGTTTAATATCCAGTTAATTAGCAGCACAGTGAGGTATTGACAAGGTTTACTGGGCTTGTTAGTTGAGTTTGCATGCTTATTAGCAAAAGGCTTGTTGTGGTGCAGTGTCAATCCATTTAATGCCGTCCTTGCTGGCAGGCTGTCCCCTGTGAGATCATGGAAGCAGTTCCCTGCACACCAACTCCTCTTTCCAACTTCTTGGCTGTCAACAAAGCTGACCATGGGTGTAAAACCAAGGCGCATATTTTCATCTTCCTACATGCTGGGATGGGGCTGACAGTATGCTTCTAAATGTCTGTGTTTGGACTTGCCTTGAAAGATAAGAGGTTTTTGCAGAGATTGCTAGTAACAAAACAGTAAACCTTGGGCCGGTCATTACCACCCGTTTGATTATCAAAATAGGAATGGAAATGACCGCACTGGTGCCAGTCAGGTAGCTATCAGAGCCCTTTTGCTTCTATAAAAGCTACTCCTACAGACTTTCTTTGTTCAAATACTTCTCTTTGGCTGATGGTGTCAGTGGGTTTGGAGTCTGTAGTCAGTGCCTGCAACTCTTGTAGGTGGTTTTCTAGACTAGCGAGAATATGGGGTTTTTTCCAAGTCTTTTCAACAGCACTGTAACTTAACTTAAGTTACAGTAAATATTTGAGTTGGCTTGTCCTTGTCTTGCAATGCAAGGAAAAATTAATTAATGGCACTGCATGAAGACAGCTGCTAATTGGTCATCTACAGGCAAGCTTACTCCTGGATGTAAATATATCTCTATGGAAGTGCTAATGGATTTATAGATCAAGTTTCTACACTTGCGTTATTTTAGGAAATATGTCTGTAAGAGAAAGGAAAAAAAATATCCTCCCAAAACACATCTATGCAACTTGGTTGACATGTATATACATCATTCCCTACTAAAAATAGCAGGTGACAGAATACATAGTCTTGAGTCGTCATTCAAGAAATAAAATACTAAAATAACAGGTATAGTAGTTTTATCTTAAAGAGGGACAGTGATGACATAAAAAATAAGCACTTAAGATTAAAGAGCATATTTGCCAAAAAGCTGAGATGGGGAAAAACATAATTACAAGCTTTGCTTCAAGCACTCACCAATTATAGGGAAGCTTTCCATCTCTCTCTAAAGATGCAAAATTGACAAAGGTTCCAGCCCCGCACTCCCTGTTTCAGGAAGACCATTGGGTACAAAGTTACCATTTTTTGGATTAACAACGCTTGCAATGAGGTTGATTTAACAGAGAACTCTCGGAGTTGCAGAAGTGCTGAACACACACATCTGTGACTAGGTCTGAGATAATCTGTGACAAACATAACTGAAATCCCTTAACATAGCTGTCCAAAACCAATAAATGTTCAACACCACCTGAGATCAGGTTTCCTAATAATGCTTAAAAAGAGTGAAACAAGGGAGAAGTTGTTAATAAAGATCTCAAACAGACCTCATCTTCTGTCCAGGTTTGGGCTTTCTATAGTCTGGCGCTAGCACTAGTTGCTGCCCTCTGTACACATGCTAAATATTTACCTTTCTATACTAAATATTCACTGTCCCAACTCTAAGAAGACGATGTATAATTGTCTCCATTTGACAGGATCATGGTAAATTTGAGTTCACAAAATAATTGTGGAAAAAAACCTGAGTTTCCTGAGTAACGTTCCAGCGAATTTGTCATAAGTCCATTATTTTCAGCTACAAATGATAAACTGACTTGACTACTTTTTGATTCCTTGATTTAAGCAAACAATTGCTTACAGCTTCTTACTGGATTTACTTTCTTAATTTCCGTCTGGGGTTTTTATCTTCCACGGCTAGAAGCAGTGATGAAGAGAAAAAGAAAAAGCTTTGTGCTGCTTGCCCAGTAATTAAATAGGAAATAGAATTAATTTATCTGGGATTTTCACAGAGCCAGTTACATGTAAAAGGAACAAACCACATAATGTTCACTGAAAGAGAGTCTGCAAAACATGTGTGATGTGGTCATCTGTTGCATGGAATACATAGCCAAGACATGACACATAAAATGCAGTGTCTGCTGGGTAGCCAAGTGCAAGATTCTTCACATACGTTTTTTTACATGAAATCATTTATTTTCTTGACACAGGACAGTAAATTAATATAAAATATTACATAGATTATAAAAGGATGAAGACTCTGGGACACTTCCAAAACCAGGAGGTGAACCACATATTGAGGGTTTGGAGAAACTTCCACAGTTCACTCAGGCCATAACATAACCCACATTAAAATGAACTGTTACAGGTAAGACGACCAGGAAAAGGAAATTTAATTTCAATATTCACGTACAAATGATTGGTGCAGATTGCTGAAGGAACTGCAGATTCTGTAAAAAAATGGTTGACTCCTATAAGATAATTTTTCCCTTCATCTGTATGACACAACAAATTGGGATCATTAATGTTATAGATGAAAAGCAGGACCTGAGATCCCTTCTGGATTTGTGGGTCTCAGTGTATACTTGGCTGCATCCTGACAGCATAGAAAGACAAGATCCAGGTGAGCCCATAAGCTCTTTCCCATGCTGCAGTTCCCATAGGAAGGAAGCCCACATGAATGCAGAATTTGCACAACTGGAAGACCAGGATTTGGGGGCAGACTGGCAAATGCCCTAGAGGGAGACTCTCAGGGCCCTGGGCACATCCTCCCTTGTCCTAGGGGTTTGGCTGCCAGGGCTCAGGCCTTAACATGCCTGCAGCATCCTGGACCTGATGAACAAACCATCTTATCTGTTGATATGGAAAATCTCCTGTTCCAAACCATATGAAAGATTTGCAGAGCATCTTGATGTCCTGCTCGTGCCCAGTTGCCTCAGATCCTAATTATCCTTTAGGTTCTTCACACAACTTTTTGTAATAAGTGATTGCACTTCTTATAGACCCAATCTTGCAAAGCTCAAAATGAGACAAAGGTTGAGGCTTATAAATCAGGTCAAGAATGAAAGTAGATAGAGGGAGAAGACATGCTACTCCTAAACAGCAGCAGGACAACCGTTTTGAAGGTATCCTGTTCACAAGTATCTCGAGCAGCACCCGTGCACACAAGCATCCTCAATTGCAACCATTGTCATGATGTGTTTGTTGTTGTCTGAAATTTTTGGAATTAGCATAAATTTGGACTTACCTGGCCATTTGTAGATGTTTTCTCCTGAGTACAACAAGAGTCACCAGCAGCAGTCCAATCAGAAGGATACTTAGGATGGCTAACACGGAGATTACCACTACGTTGGGATTCATCTCGGTGACTGTACATACGAACAAGGACTCTTGGTTATTCAATTCAGAAGCGCTGATAATTTTGTGGTTTGTTTTTTTTTTTTTTCCCCTGAATGTTGATAGTGTTATTTTTCTGAACTGATCTCATTCAGCCTGGAGTGTTACAGAGAGAAAAATCTACCACTAGAGATAAAGGGAGGTTTTGACTAGTTATTGCTGTTACAAAATTTCTGTGGGGAAATGACTTCACTCTGGCATTTTGTTAAACTTTGGCATGTTCTGATTTTTTTTTCCTTTTTAACTGACATTCATAACACAAGAGAAAAGGACAAAGGAAATATAAAACACAGATATTCATCATCATCTATGTCTCCAAAGTACATTTCAACTCTGAAGTTATTTTTCAACAATAATCAATACCTTTTCTGTCCCAAAAGCAAAATAACAGGTTGAGGCTCTGTAATACACTGGGTTGAAATTGACTGAATTACTTTGGCAAATAAATTTTAACAAAATATTCTGTTTTAAATAAGAGCTGGAATCAACTCTCAATAACAAAAACTTGATTTATTTTTGTTTCATATTACATGCTTATTGACTGTACTACTATGAGACCAGATACTCTGTTCTGCTCATTATATAAGAAACCCTCTCTACTTTACTTGCTCAGAATAACTTTATGTCCACAGCTGTCTAGAGAAGCATTTTTTAGATTAAAAATCATGAGGATTTTTAAGCTAAGTATCAGACACTGAACTCCAGCATGGAGTGGAGTATGATGTACAGGACCAGTGACCAAAGCTACATAACTCCCTAACTAAGCAGAGATGACACTTATCATTCTGAAGGGGAGTTTTTAAAGAAAAGTCCATTGCTCTGGGCAGTTCAACACTGATACTCTTTCTTCAGAGTCAGTATAGAGCCGGGCTTCATGACATGCCCGGGAAGCCTCCATCAGGAGCTATCCCTTTGGGGTGTGACTGCTCAAGATCCTGCGGTGGCCCTTCTCCACTTCCTCACTGAAAGCAGAAAGCGATTTTTTATCTTAGCAGCTTATAAACGTGATTTTCCTCTTGTTTGGGCTTGGCTGAGAAGATGTTTTTCTCCATAAATGTCATCAAGCAGTACCCTGATGTTCAGCCTTGATAACACAAACTAGGTCCCTGATTTCTAAAACCCAGTAGAGAATTGATCCTCCAGTTTATATTTTTCCAAGTCAACCCCCCAGTGGGGATTTTTCTAAGGACTTTTTAAAGCTGCTTCCCCATCCCATCCACATCTGGCAGCCTTTCCATGATACAAACAACCCCTGGGGCTAGCATTACAAAAAGCAGCTTTAGAAAGCAAGGAGAAACAGATGTTGTAGCTGGAGGAGGAAGAAGAAAGCAGGAAAGTGCTGCTTACCCATAGTGGAAACCGCAATGAAAGTGGGGACGCTGGGGCTATTGTGGCTGAAGGTGGTCACACTGCAGTTGTAAGAAGTGGCAGGGGTTAGGCTGGAAATGGTCACTACGTGTGAAGAGACAGTGACAGGTTCCTGCAGACATGGGGAAAAATACACAGAAGTTTGTCTCTCCCGTAAATGCAAGAGCACAAATCTGTGCTCCCCTCTCCACGCATATATTTGACCAGGTAAAGTCAGATCTGGTGAAAGAAACCAGCACTTCGAAACCCAGGGAAGGTAACCAGGGCCTGACCTTGAAAATAGGCAGGTAGCCTGGCAGTCCGGCAGAAGAGGGGAGAGGAACAGGGGTGAAAACAGCAGCAGGAACAGCCCAGAGCACCCCAGGGAGCCCCAGGCCCCTTGGGGAGTGCAGAGGGTGCCTTGTAGGGGGTTGGTCAGACATATGCATGGTAGGGGAAGGCGCTGTGACCCCCAGGACATCCCCAGAGGTTGGCAGAGCTCATGACCTCTGGTTACTAAGCCATACAGGTAGGAGGAAAATAAAGTTATTTTTATTTGAAGTGTGGCCAAGGTAGTCACAATCTCCGCACCCTCGTATGAATACATGTCATCTCTGCCTCTGAGGCAGTACCTCTGGACGTGAAGAGCTGTGAGCCTTTCACATGGCCAAGGTAAAAAACAAAGCTAGAACAAAGCCTTTGGGTAATAACCATGATCAGATATCCCACACCTCACTTTTTCTAGGTAGTGTAAACTCTTTACATAATGTCTTTATACAATGTTTTAATTACTATGTCTGTGGTAAACAATTTTGTCATTCATAAATGCTGGTATGGCAAAAGAAAACAAACACAACACATGCATTGACTTAAAGATATAGCTCCTTAAGGTCCTCAGAAGCTTTTCTATACTCTCCAGCATAGGGTGGATTGCAGATATAAAAATAGGGACACTGAACCAATGGTTTAGGAAGGGAACAAGAAGAAGTTTTATGAATGAACTCACTCCAGATGGGGAGTGCAAGACCCTGTATCAAGTCCCGAGCACTGGATTTTTGCAGTGGCCTGTTGTCATTCATAGGCTCCTTCTAGACTAGCAACGGTTCCTGTTGCAGTGCAATTCTGAGGTACGTTACACAGATGAAATCACATGTACATGAGTGTAAGGGAGGGGACTTTTATTCCCTGAGCTGAAAGGAGGGGCCACAGTTTGGCAATTGGACTTGGTTGGATGTTTTCCATTTTCCCCTCTGGGAAATTTAAATTAGTCAAGCAAAACCCAACATATGGGTTATCTTTTGGGATAATCAGTGGCCTGAGTGGGTTATTTTTTACTTTTTTCTGAATGATTCCCCATTATGTGTGACAGACCACATGACAGAATGATGTTTCATGGCATGTAATCACAGTGATTCACTATACCATCAGCTAAACTGCCAAGTAAGCCTCATACATTGCACAACATTGAACGTCAAGGAATTAAAACTACTACTGCTCTATTCTTCACTGAACAACGTTACCAATCTAACCACTCAGATATTCAGGTGGCCTCTGAGCACAGGTACCTAACTGGACAGAGAGAAAAGGAGCTTCATTTGTGAGGCTGAGAAGGTGGGTCTGGAAGGAAATACCCTGAGAAACAAAATCCATGAGGAGCAGCCACATTTGCAGCATAAATGTACTTTTTGAATAGCAGTGAAGGTCCTACTGAACTTCAGTTAACAGTTCTCAAAACCAGGAATAAAGTAAGCCAGAAATAATTAAATGCTGCATAAAAGATCTCATGGCATCTAAATATGTCTATTTTTCCCGTTCCTTATCAAGCTACCTGACCATTTTTCCCTTCCTGCCCATTGACATTCCCTTAGTTTTGTGGCCTTTTAGGGTTTGCATGGTATATTGGAGCCATTTTCATGACTAGCCAAAGACTGTCACCCTGTTGGATGCACATAGCTTCCGTCCAACTAGTTATAATCTCATCAACAAGACAGAAGGCAATTTTAATACTGCAAAATAATGAAATATTTTAGTATTTGAAATGCTTTAGTAGTTTAGCTTTTAAAGGTTTAATTCTGAACCACCTTACCACATTTGGTTTAATGATCTAACCAGTGTACCAAGCGTAAAATGTCATTGGGCTTTACACACAAATGCTAAGCAGCAGACAACAAACCAGAAAGATGGAAGGCCCAGTCCCAGTTTCAGAGATGAAGAGCAGAAGCCAAAGAAGAAACGCTTACATACCTGGACTTTTGTTTCCTGACCAGATCCAGCCTGCTGGCAGTAGACTTCAAAGAAATCAGCCACTCCTTCTTCCACCCACAGCAGAGTCACGGAGGTCTGAGTCTTATTGACAGCAAACAGTGATTTTGGAGGGGCTGGCTCTGGTTAAGAGAAAATCTCCTTTTATTAAGCTTATCTTTAAGTTTCCAGACAACTGAGAAGAGGAAACCTTGAACAAAAATGAAAGCAATGCCTGATGCCCTTCTATCTTTCGTTTCCTTCAGATAAAGCCTGCCAATGTAAAGCCCTGCCTCTCATGATGATAAACTACCACCGTAAAATGGGAAGATGATGAAGTGTGTTAGTTTTTCTTCTCTATTTAAACTGCTCTCTATTTGGACAGTTGGATAATTACTTCACTTCCCTTTTCAGCAGAGCCCTTGTTTGAGGATGATCAGCATATTCTATTAATAGAATGACGTTAACAGATGCTCTTTCGGGAGAAGATGGCTGTCCACCTGTTAGCAACACTTTTGGCCTGAGAAAGCTTTGCTTCACAAGGCCTGCCCCAGGAGATGATAAAGAAGCAGCTTCTCACAAGCGAAAGCCATCTAGGTTCATTTAATTGTAGCAGAGGAAATATTTAGTCAATTAGCAGTTTAAAAAAAAATCTTGTAGTCTGTTTTTTTTGGTTTTTTTTTTGTTTTTTTTTTTTCTAGGCTAACTTTTAAACGCCATTGGGTCTGCACTTGTTTCAGTTAGCTGCTGGAGTTTTCTCTCCTCACTGAATGCAGAGGTCCAGATTTCAGGGGTCTTCAATTTATTGCTTCGATTTTCATTGTTGTTGTGCCAGATGAACTGGCACAGGCAAATGTACACAAGGGACTGGGGTTCCTACATGATGAGGAGGAGACAACCCTGTGATAGGAGGGCTATTGGGGGTCTCCTGGGAGAGATGGCGTCAGAGATACTGTGAAACATGGACAAGGGCCTGCATGGAGCGCCCCCGGCCCCGTGTGGGGCGACCTCAGCTGTCACCTCCAGGGCCACCTCCCCGCCCGTGGACCCCCGTGGCTGGGCGGGCAGCAGCCCACGGGAGGCCACGCGGACCTCCAGTGGAGGCCACCCCACACTGCAACCCCGCCTGAACCAACCCGGAGTACCGAAAGCACAGGAGAACAGGAGGGGAAACCTTGAGGAGCAGGGACAGGAGCAAACAGCCAAGGCACGGTGTTAAGATGACATACACTTTTTTTCACAAGATTATTTAAAGACCAAGGCTTGATCCTGATTTTCATCCTGAAGACATCACACAACGGGTACTTGCAACCCCCAGCTTTCAACGCCTCAGGCATCCTGGGCTCCTTTAGTCTGCCTTCAGAGAGTGCAATGTTCGGGTTGTACATTTCCGAGCTGTTCTCCAGAGTTTTCAGATTTCCTAATCTATGGATGTTTAATGAAAGTTGTCATTCTCAAACAATGACCTGATTCCAGGGTCCTGACACACTACATACAATGTGCTATGTACAACAGCATTTTGCTCTTATTTTTCCCCTTCACAAATAATTTGTTATTCTCCTTCTGTGAGATGCTGTCACAGGAGACTGGACATGAAGTGTAAGATCCGCCACAACAAACTTGGCACAAAGGACTTGCTCAAGTGGTTATAGACGTTTTGGAGACGTATCTGATCCTCAGACAATCAGATCAGTGTTCTAGGGTTGGAGGCTGCCAAGATTATATTGGCATTAGGGAGAGCGTTGAGGAGAGCAGGGTAGGGACTGAGGCACATTCACGTGGCTTCTTCTGTATCACGGGGATTGCAGTGTACATGTTGTCCCAGAACTACATAGGAAAGCGACCCTCTCCCTTAATTACACCCATATATCTGCTCTTGGATTCAGAAACACATTCCATCCCTCAATCCAGGTAAAAAAATGGCCTCAATTAAAATATGAGTTTTGCATTTGGGCATCATCCCAAGCAAATCCTCCTTTCGCCTCCAGCAAATGGCTTGATTTTTCTGCAAGTGGAAAGTTGCCAGGATGAAGCAAACATCATGGAGGGAAGAACATTTGGCAGGAAATGACTGCCAAGTGCCGAGTCGTCTATCACTTAGAGTCAGTTCCCACTACTGCTAATTACAACTCCCATTGCTCCCTCAGAAACAGAGAGAAGGAAAACTTCTGGTAAAATATCCTTACTATTGTCTATTTGAAGTGCAAACAGCGTAAAGAAAAAAAAAAAAAACAAAACACAACAAACCAATGAAAACCAACAACCAGAAGTCTGGAAGTGATTTATTGAAAAGGAATTCATTCCACCTTCTCTTTGTTGTCAATGAAAGAGCAAGAGCAAAATAACTATACCAGTTCATTAAGAGCCTGCCTGTCCATGAGCAAAGAACGGGAAGATATGACTAGGCTGCAGGGTGTACAACATGAATAATACATGGAACTAATGGAGCTGTCTGAAAGATAAAGCTAGCTGATATTTTGAAATACCCCCCTAAAATATTTGGACAATGGTAGCAGGGGGATATACTCACCCTCACACATCCACCCACTCAGTCCTGGGAACGAACACACGCACCTAACTGTGCACAGATACAAGGCATGGGGAAAACAGTGGACAGAACTTGTATAGGGAAGGGAAAATCCATGCAATTTGTCTACATCTTTCAAATATTCCCTTTGGTGAAAAGACCTGGAAGAACTTCAGATTCTTGTGGCTGTACTGTGCTTGCCCCAGCGCTGTTTAAGAGATTTGAGTAAGAGCTATTGAGAAAGACGAATAGACAATGATTGCTTCAAGACCTCTAATTCAATTAGAACTTATGGAGCCCTTTAAATTCACTTCTTTCACTGTGACTCACAAAAGGTTTATTATGCATGTATAGAAGATAATCCAGTTTGAAATTACTAACTCTTCTTTACCCACCTTCACAGTGGAGTTAATGGCTGTAACAGCAGTTAGGCATACTTCAAAATTTCACAGCTTTAGCTACCTAGGGCTCAATAATTCTACGTGCGGGCAAAAGTGAAGTAAAATCTCTTAAGGTACAATGGTATAGTGTCCAGTCTTCCTCACAGGTAAAGGAAGGTATTGGACAGAAAGTTCATAGAATCATAGAATAGTTTGGGTTGGAAGGGACCTCTAAAGGTCATCTAGTCCAACCCCCCTGCCGTGGGCAGGGACACCTTCAACTAGATCAGGTTGCTCAGAGCCCCGTCCAACCTGACCCTGAATGTTTCCAGGGACAGGGCATCCACCACCTCTCTGGGCAACCTGTGCCAGGGTTTCACCACCCTCAGTGTAAAAAATTTCTTATATTTAGTTATATATATATATATATAGTTATATTTAGTTATATATAGTTATATTTTAAAGTCCTACCTAAAGGATGAAGTTCTTAAGTCTTTTTTTGTTTCTTTGAGTAGATTACACATATTTCCCTTAGAATGATGCTGAGTTCCACAACCCTGAATCTGACTGTTTTTGTAAAGAGTACTGTCATTGATTTGTATTTAAGGGTACATTTTTGGTGTTGGAAGACTATGGAGATGTCCAGGGAGAGAGGAGAGGAGACAGGAAACCAGGCCACGTGGCAGAGTTCAGACCCAGAAACGGGCTTGACAAAACCAAGGAAGGTTCTGCTTTGTATTGAAAAGTTCAGCTGTGAAGCCTGAGTCACCGCTCCCAAAACCTGCCTGTGTTCAGGACCTTAGGGAAGCAAATATGGAGCAGCGTTGTTCTCCCAGCGAGGCATTAAGCAATTTGCACTCTCCTTCTTCCACTTACAGTCAGATTCTGCCACCCTTGCTCCTCTTGAGTAATACTATTTTAGGAGAGTAGCTTCACATATGGAAATGAGGCAATCTTCACAGCAAGGTGAAGTGAAAATTACAGCTTTGCAAAAGAAATGCGGGCACAGGTACATGACACTGAAATGAGGAAGATGCTGAATCTGCTGACAGGGTTACTTTTATAGTCAAATGAGAGAGGTGAGTTTATAATTTACAAACAAGCATTTCTTACCCAATTTCACAAGCTGGGGCAGGGAAGTATTGCTGCCTCTTTCAGTACAAGCGGTCACTGAGAGGTTGTAAATGTCCCCCGGAGGCAAGCTCAACACTGCAGTCATCACATTGCGTGTTACCTACAATAATTGTAAACACCAACAATATGACCCAAACCAGTTATCCTTCTTGTAAAATTAATCTGGTCACTTACTATACTACAAAGAAAGTTCTGTGCATCACAGCAGATGTCTTCTGCATACTCTAGACTTGTTACATGAACCCGTTCCCACTGACACCAACTGTGGAAAGCCATAACGCTCGGTAGAATATCACAATGCAGAGAGAAGACAATCTTAGGCCATATTTTCTGTACTACCAGTGAAAATTTAAGGAAGAAAGAAAATCTCCCTCTAAATGAGACTACTCTTGCATCTAGATTTTTCAAGTTGTGCAAAATGCTAACCAAACCATGGACTTGAGTCCATTGCAATGTTAGGGGAATTTAAATCAGATCAGATATCTCTAAGAAGAGTACAAAAGCCACATATAGGCAAGCCTTTATATACCCTAAGAACCTGCAAATTAAATCCGGCTGGGCAAGTCTAACACCTACCTGGAGACCTTTTGACTTGACAATAGGTCTCATGGCCTGACTTCAGTCACGGGCAAGTTTGAAACCAGATATGATCCAAAACCGACCTGAGCTTCAAAAGATTGTGAATAACTTCTTCCTATTATTTTAGGGGTGAGTAAGCTCCCCATTTCTCCAGGGTCATGGAGAAGGATGCAGAATTCAGATACTACAACAGACTGTTTTCAGAGCACTTGTAGACTATCTACAAAGGGCACATTCAGGAATCTCATGCTGGTTTTCATAGTCACTTAATTTTCAGGCTGAAACTTTCAGTTCCAAGAGGGATAAACAGTTCTGAATAAAGACTAACAGGACTATGCATATTATTTTGGTCACTTGTCTCAAAACTGACCAACTTCTTCAGAGTCTTGGGAAGTATTCAAATAGCAGGAAGAAAAAGTCATCATTACTTGATTATTTTACCTATTTATTTTAATAATTCTACAAGAAAAACAACCATAATAACAATCTTAACAATCTTAGTAAATCAGATAAAGAGAGTACAAAATAGTACAATTTTTAAAGGAAACCATTTCTGAAAGTGACTAACAGAGCTTAGGAGAACAGGTACACCCTGCAGCCTGCAAGCATGCAACCATATTTACAAATATGAGCAGTACCATAAAAGTTAGCTATAAACAGGTTGTTGCAGGAATTTCTTAAAGAATACTTGCTGGCTTCTCTTGTTCTGAAAATAAAATAAAGATAAATACTCCTAAAGACATCTTTGAAGTTTTATTTGTAGATACTCTCTATTTTTAATCTGTTGTTTAATCTAATATTCAATATTAATTTTAATTTAATTTCATATCCAATATTTACTGTATTTTATATTTATTCAATCTAAGAATTTCTTTTTCAAATATTTTTTACCAGAAGCGGTAGCACAAAAGTCAGATTTTTTTTCCTGGAAGAATAATAACCTTACAGAGAACATGACTTTTGGAAGGGAGGGAGGTGTATCACAGCACAGTTTTAAAATTCAATTGTTAGAATACTTTATTTTGGGGGGGGGGGGGGGGGGGGGATGCAAATATTGGAAGTTCCTGCTGTTTAGAAATGTCATGTTTTTGAACAGTTCTACTAATCATGTAATTAGATTCATGCTGCAACAAGCTCCAGATGGGTGCACTCTGGCAGCCACTAGGAATCCAATGAAAACTAGGGTGTTCCATATAAATCCAAGTAAAAATTGCTGATGAATTTGAGCTTACGCTGAAAATCCACTTCCCGTTCAGCATCTGCTGAGTCTTCAGCTGTAGAAGGGAAACCTTTCCCTTGAAAAAGACCAGACACTTTGTCCCTGTCAAGGATTAAAAGATCAATAGTGATGTAGAATACAGTCACAGGCCACAGGCTGTATGAAACTATACTGCTGGCCATATACCTTCCTGCACTGCAGTGCTCCACCGCTATTTCAAACACTTCTCACTCTATGTCCAGGGGCTGCTCTTTTGCTTCAGGTCTCAGTACCCTGCAGCAGCACGACTTTAATTCGTAGCTGGAAAACCCAGATTTCTTTTTCTAAGTGATTTTTAAATATGCTCAAAGAGTTCAAGAGAATGTGCCAAGAACACATCTTAACATCTGGCAAGTTTTCTAAGAAGTGCATATATTCTGGATGAAATCCCCATCCCATCAGTTAGTGGAACTTGTATTTAAACAGAAAATGAAAAACACATAATTTATAAGGATGTCTTTTTGATAAAGTCAGAAAATGGGAAGTGATAGTACCTGGCCTGAATGAACTAAAAAACCTCAGCTAGTTATAAAATAGAAATTGAAAGGACCATATCTGTTCACTCAGAAATACTCTCGATGTTTTATTGTCTGCAGCTCAGAAGTTTAATAAGTTATTTTTAAATTCTCGTCTAAATTATCAACACTTGCACTGGATCACCATAGAACCATTTTGTCCACTGCCTAATTTGAGAGCTTGAGTCTTTGGAAGTGTGTGCTAACACTGTGAAATAACTTTAACTGATCAGGCTTCTACCAATCTTAATCATCTTGCTTAAACTTTGTAATACAAAGTTATCAACTCAACAAAAAAAGTACAGAAAAATGAGCAACACCTTCCCCACTCATACTTACACTCTTCTTGATTTTTTTCTTTCCTTCTGCAATCACCATCCAATGCAGCATCCTGGAATGAGAAAGGTCAGTACCATCTCCTCCATAGGTCCAGGTGACGTACAAAAGGTGGTTGTAATATTCTATGGAGGTAATCTCAGGTGCCACTGGTGCTGAAAGAAGAAGGCAAATGTGTTACAGACAGGGTCTAACGCAGCTGATTACCAAGTCCCGTAATAAACTTCTGCCAGAGGATACTGTTGGGAAGAGAGTATCATAAAGATAGCAGAAACATATTAGTAAAAGCATCTGCACCTGAGTGTTAGCTGAAAAAAATGAAAAATGGCATTTAACCTGGGGGATATTCAGAACAAAAATATACTTTTGTTTGCAATCTTTCAGTTTAAAAGGAAAAAAGCATGAAGCTACTGGCTGATATAAACCATTTTTTGAGTCAACATTTACAAATAGAATTCAAAGTCAAGTTAAAAGCCTCAGATATTGCTTCACTCTGTTATAGCACTGAAAAGAAATGACAGTCAGTGAGAAATAAATAAGAATTGTCACACTGAATAATTTCGATAGCTTTTCCATAGGAAAAAATATCTTCTTTTCACTAAGCTTGCATCTCCCTAGGAGGAAAAGCCCCAAACCTGCAGTTTGCCAAAGAACATCTTTTTGCGTGAAAAGTTATGGCCGCCTTTGTTCCCGGGGTGAAAGTCCCACCACCACAGAAGGCAGCCGTCAGTCGACAGCCATCTAAGCACCATGTGTCTAGTCTACAGGCACATGGTAGCTACATTATTAGGTATTAGGTGAAGCAGCTGCTGGCCCTCCTCTTCCTCCGCACACCCAGCTCTTGCCCGGCGCTGTCCCCCGCGCTGCACAGCTCAGGCTGCCCCACCGCAGCCCCGTCAGCCCGTTCGACGGCTTGTCTTGCGCTGGAGCTGCCAGTAAGGCCTTGGCTCCCTGTGCAGCCCAAGAAGAAAGATAGCAACCTCCAGAGTAACTCCTCCTAAAATAGGCATTTAAGATGAGTAAGAGAATTACCTCCTGGAGATGCCTCTCTATTAATTGCAGAGGGAGTATAGCTGATCAGCTCACCTTGATTGCCTAATTTGGAGGTGCGGGTCCCCAGTTAGGGTTTAAGTTAAAACCGAGTGGAGAACCAAAAGTGAAAGTCAGCGACTGGTGAAGACCATAACCCCCTCTCAAAGTGCTATCAATGGGGTAACCTGGACAAAACGGGGAAGTGTACAAATCTGTGTGCTTGGCAGATTCTTTAGGAGCAGCGTAGGGAAAACGATGCGGACTGATTGGTCTTCCTCTGCACAAGCCCCGCTGAGTCCAGCGTGTTTGTGCAAAGGCGGCTCAGGTGCGGCTGCCTGGTGAGAGGGCCCTTCCCACCACGCTCCCTGGCAGAGCCCTGGATGCCAGCACAGCTGCGGGTGCCAGCAGCCCAGATGAAACCCGGGACGGACTCGGAGCTCGGGTCTGTTTGAAGGGGCCACAAGATGTCACTGCTGCTTTTACGAAGGTTTCTATGACTTTTGCATCGAGACATTCGTTAGAGAACAGATAGTAATCGCGGAGGAAGGCAGCAAACACAATGCACGGACAATTTAGAGCCATTTAGAAACGTTTAGTAAGACTATTCTCTCAAATTAATCTTGAAAATGTCCTTTTATGCTGTTGAGAGGAAGCAACCTTATTTAGTATAAAATCTTTAAAGTAATGCTTCTTTTAATTTCTGGAGTTCCCAGTCCATCCCTACACAAGGACTGTGTATTCCTTACACTTTAAGGTCACGACTGGCATGAATCTTATACACTAGTAATAATTTCCTCCTATACCTAAAAATTGATGACATGCTTTCCCTCTTAATGTTCACACAGCTGTTTGTTTTAGGTATCTGGCAGCGAACCTCCAAGATATGTGAAATGAGACTAAGGGCCAGGGCTTGCATGATCGACTGCCCTAGCACCGTGTTCCACTGGGAGCTGAGTGGCACAGAGAGGCTGTGGGAAGTTACATCCCGGAGCTGACCTGGCCCAAAGTGAGAGATGAAAGCATCCATGGGACCAACAGACAGCAGCTTCACAACAAGGACAGACATGGTGGTACTCACCAACACCAACAGTCTGTCTTCCTTACTCTTTTTGCTTCTCCAAAGCTAAAAGCATTCTCATTGTAAAAGAAAATGTTGGTGGTTTAAAGTGCCCTTGCTTCTGATTGCTTTAAATCCAGCTGTTTACAGCAGGTGGCATTAAAAACTCATTAGTCACCACAGCAACACCGGCAGTGCCACAATCTCTCCCTGCGTTAAAACAAGAGCGTGCAACTGTTGCTGCAGGAGCCCAAGGGAACAAATGCTCTTTCTGATAGGTCTCTGGGATCCCCCCAAATCTCCCCACTTCTCTTGGGGACATCTGACCAGTTGTCATGGGAGAGAGCTGTATATCATCCGGTCTCTTCTAATACCCTTTTCATTCAAGGTACTGTGGTTCAGTAAAGCCCCAGCCTAGCTATAGACTCCACAGGAGCAGCGGGATCCTGCGTTAGGGAAATGGTTTCTCTGCTCTGAGCTTGCTACAAGGTGTGGTCCCAAACTGCCAGATGATCCTTCTGCTTTGTTTTAAAAAATCAAGCTTATGTTCCAGGTGCAGAGGTTAGCTTTCTAGTTAAACGCAGAAGAACTGACAGATGGTATTACTGTCAAGAAGACTACAAAACCTTCTATTTAGTATTTTAAAATTTGGGGTGGTGGTGGTGGTTTTTGTTGTTGTTGTTGTTTTGTTTTAATTCCTGGCAACCTGTGCAGGGGAGGTAGCATTGTTCAGAATGATGCAGAAAGGGACCAAGTGCTCCATAAAACCATCTGTTCTTTCTCTGGAAAGAAAGAGGCTGAGGGTGATAAAGAGCTCCGCAGTCCCCTGGTAACTTGAAAGAGTGAAAAGGCAGCACCTACTGGGGACAAACATTCCAAACCTGCAGACATGAAAAGTTGGCATGCCACTTTCTCTCAAGTTAGCCTGACAGCAGTCCCTGGAAAAAGCTGAAGAGATTTCAAGTAATAAGGCAACCAGAGGACAGGAGCGTATTTAATGCTCACATTCAATGGTGACCATCTATTGATAAGCGCTTGTTATTTGATCAAATCAGATTTCTTTGTTAGGACTCTTCCCTTAAATTGCTGTGATCTGGCTCACTGCTATTTAACGTTTTCATCAATACTCTGAAAGTAAAAGCACCACTGATGAATCATGCAAGTAACATGGCAACTGGGAGAAGAGCAGAGGATTTGGACAGGGCTATGATTTGAATGATTGGTCCCTACGCTGGGCCTGTTCAAACAAAATGTATTTCAAAGTGCCAGGTGCAAAGCTGAGTCTTTAGGAAAAAGGCATGCAGACAACACTTCCCAGATGATAAATTCTGGAAAGCAGCTACCCAAGGAAGGAGTCAGAAGCCATAGAATAGAAGCAAATCAACACAGACCTCCAGTGTGCACAAACAGGAGAGCATTGAATAGGGAGTTGATTTTGCCTCTGTAGGAGTATTCAGCAGGCTGGTATTACACTTTCAGTTTTCACGTAGTTTGGTAAAGACAGTAAAAATTAGAGAGGCAGAGTGGGGGAAAAAAGTAACATGAAAAAATGCCTTCCTGTGAGAGCACCTGAAGAGTTCAATGGAAGCAATTTAACAACAGAAAAGAGTGAAACTAAATTCTGTACAGAGAGAGGAAAAAAGCTTTGTGTCTCTTCAATCGATAAAAGTGTAACAAGAATTATGGACTGGATATTAAAAATAGAAAAATTCAGATCAGAAGCAAAGGATAAACCTTTGATAATAAGAGGTATTAAGCATTGGTACAACCTTCCAGTTGGATATTTTCTGGATATTTTCACTTAAGACCGCATGACCTTTTTGAAGAGAGGTTTTGCCAGTCATAAATGGATGACATTAACTAAGAGAGTCATTCATTTCTGATTTTTGTCTACATCTGCTAGTTAAGGAGTTGATCCATTTTTCATCTAATAGCAGTAACAGTCTTTACTTTCCCCATACAGAGATCCAGACCGATCCTGATGACGGCTTATATTTTAGAACAACATTCATCTCCCTAATTTCTGCTGCAGGTTTCTGGAAACACAATATTGAACCGTGAGGGCCCTGCTGGAACATTTCCACTCTGAAATGCTGAACCTGGTACCCAAATCAGTTTGAAAAAACATTTCTCCCCTCATACAGCAAACAACCAGCTGGAAAATTGCTTCCTTATAGTGCTACAGAAAAGTTGATTGATTGATGCCAAAGGACAATGAATATCCCTGGAGACCCTTCACAGGGCCCTGGTGGGTGCTATGAGTTTCTGATACACTGGAGAAGCACCAGAATTTTCCGGCGGTGTAGCTTGGGACCAGGTATCTCAGGATGGGAGGTTTTCTGCTGACTTCAGTGGAGCTAGGACTTAACCCACCAATAATTTTTCTTTCGTGGCTCTGTCGAGCACAGGCACTATATTAATCAACATTGCAAATGTGCCTTATTCAGTTCCTTCCTCAGATACACCTTTTTAGCCTCTCACCAAAAAGAAAATCTGGGACGAGGCTAGTATCTGTTTTGGAGGGAGCGGCTGGGACCTTGAAGGCTGATTTTCCTCGTAATATAATTTCTACAGCTAGAAAAGAAGAGCGAGTCATACTTTATTTCCTCTTTCCGTGCATCTGAATTATTTACTGCTTTCCATCACCTTCTGCAAGGTGAACTGAAACGTGGTGCATAAAAGCAAAATGATTCAATAGGGAAATTTGACTTAACCAGCCTGGATGCTAGGAACACGTGGCAAGGCGCTAACAGGACCTCCTGTATGCTGTTCCCTCTACAGCTAATCTGTTTGACACATTGAAGATTGGTGTGTTAGATGCAAGGCCGGTCCCAACTGGTAGAGGGCGATCCGTGTGGTTACATCAATTTACTGCAGCTGAGAATCCAGATTACGAATGACTTGCCAGCACCACACAGTTTCCCAAGGCCAATCTACCCAGCGCGGGTGCAATGCCTCGATCACAGGAGCACCCTTCTCTCCTTACTGTGAGCACGTAAAAAACACCCAGCAGAAAAGGCAAAGCTAGAGGACAAGAATAACGTGCTACCAAACATACTACCTGCCTTGGTCTGCCTAAGAATGCATAACTCTACTCCATGTTAGCCGAGGTGCAGTCACGGTCTGATCTGTGGACTATTGGGAGGGGGGGAAAGGAGGAAAAAGCATTTGGAAACATTGAAAATATATGGAAAAATGTTTCATAATATTACCAAACCTAAGAATTTAGATTACTTATTTACCCATTAACTTCTCAATGTGTAAAACATACAGTGTCATAAAAGACAAGCAGGATCACTGGCCCTCACTGGAGCCATGCATTCAGCTGATGGAGAGGACTGGAACAGAGTAATCAAACGCTGTGCTTTGCATAGGAAAATTATCACTTAAAGCAGTCCTCAGAGGCTTCCTTAAAAAAAATCAGAAAAATAAAACGCCCAAAAAACAAAACCCCCCAAACCCCACTTAGCTATTAAATGCCCTAGCTTGCAAGTATGTGCAGGTGAAACACAACATCCAAGTCGGACTTGCTCAGCACTTCTGCTCGGGGAGGCATTTCCAGGGTCTTTTCAGGCACCTGCTTACCTGTTATGAAGCTGATGGTGGAGCTGTCACAGCAGCTCAGCTCTGGGTCCCCCCAAGTCACCATGGTGACCCGGAAATTGTAATACCAAGCAGGCAGCAGGTTAGCTATTCTCTGTAAAGTGACAAAAGAGAAACAGCAGCTCAGGAGAAAATTCACCAGCGTGAGGTGTGACTTATAAAACATGACAATATTTATAAAGCTACTGCCGACACATGGGACCATTTTACTGAGCTCCCACTCCTTACTCCAGTGGAAACCTCCGTACTTTGGGATTTCAATTTATTAAAAAGTCTGTGCGGTGAGAGCAAACATGGTTGTGGTGGCTCTGCTCTTATCCACATGAACATGGTCCCAGGTCCTACCCACCACAGGAACCTCTCATTGATTTCCAGGGCGGCGAGAATGATTCCTGCAGAGCGATCTTCCATCACCAAATTCTGATTTGATGAAGGTGGAATATTTAACTGGAAAATGTAGGCTTTTCTATTTTGATTAGATAGGGTTTGAGGATAAATTAGAAACAATGTTTTTGACTCAGATATTGTCACTTCAAAAGACTCATTTTTTCCAATTTTCAAGGTGTATTTCACTTTGTATTATCATTTATTATAAATGAAATATGAATGAAACATAAATGACTTATGAGACATAAATTATATATATAAATACAAATGAGATACAAATGAAGTATAAAATGCAATCTATTTTATATTATAATGTTGTATGTAATATTTAAATGAAAATTCAAATACTTCCATTGACAGCACAAAACACTTCAAATATTTAATTTTACATTTAAATGAAAAGCCTTATGATATTTTTAAAATTCAAAATAAAAGCAAATAATGAAAATTTTCAACAAATTAGAAATTGCTATTTTTACAGATCTCTGCTGTTTGCAGTGGCCTTTTTTCCCCAGATACTACAAGGCAATCCAAATACAGGGTTTGTGGACTATTGTCTTTATGCTTTTTAGGAAAAGTTGTGTCCAATTAACACCAAAACCTTGAAGATACTTGGACTTCTTCTGACATGCCCCTGGTGTAATATTGAAAATACCAACATTGATTTGACAATTTTAAAAAAAGATGCAGAGCACAAAATGAACAAAGCAACTAAACAGAGTGAAAGGGCAAATTCAGTTCCAAAGGTTCTCATCAAGTGATAACCCTTCAGGAAATAATTTTTGATCTAAGCTCTCAGATAGCTTGATTTTTGATTCCCCGGCCTTCTCACTGGGCTTGACACTTGCTCCAGAATACACCACTCAGAGATGTCAGTAGATCATAAGGAAATTTGCGGTACATAGTGGGATTCTGGAGCACCACTACAGAACCCAAACAAAAGTTCACCAACACCTACCTGTATGTTAAATGCCATAACAGAAGAACAGAGAGACACTCTTTTTCTAATTCAGGCTTACTCTTTAAAATTATTCTTTAAGAAATGCTCACTTCAGCTGCGATATAGCACTGTCGCATTTCAAACTGAAATTCAGACAAAGGAATTCCAACTTGGCTTCCTTGAACAGGATTTGCAACAGTAAGGGACAATATAATCTTATTTTCTAATGAACCACATTAGCTCTGGAAGATGGCATTACTTCTAAGATGACTTGGATCACTCAGGTATTAATCTAATTGTGCTGAGTCATGATTACAAGATATTAATTACTCATTTGGTAAGTTATTTTTGTTTTTAATTTCCCTGGAGATTTATGTGCTAGATTTACAGTCACGTACCCAATTACAGTTAAGCCGCTGTAGCCAAAATGACTCTACAAATGGTATTATGCAAATCAATTACAGTAAATCACTGTGGCTCTCACAAGCAGCAAAAGTTATTGCTATCCTTTTTGCATACTCATAACTTTCTGAACAACTAATTTCAGCTAAAATTGCTTGCTGTCTTGTGCTACAGCAAAGTCTGAATAAAATCTGTTCACCTTCTCTAGAACTAATGGAAAGGAAGAGGGAAATTTCACTTTATTTCTGCAAAGATGCGTGTGCGTATATGTGTATGTGTGTTCTTCTAGAGACCAGTCTCCACCTAGTTGAAATCCTGGCATAAGTCTTTGTAGCTTCAGAAACATAAAGGCTATTTTCACAAGAGCATCTCTGCAGCTAAGCCTTCCAGATGGCACACTGCAAGACTAGCCCGCAAGCCCCAAATCCATATTATCAATATTAATTATGTAGATAAGGCTTTTTTTTAATCTCTTCCCCCCAAGGAGACGATGGAATTTTTAAAGCCTTGACTGACAAACTGACCCACAAACTGAAGCTGCCTCTGGACTTGCTGAACATGCCCATTTGTCAACAAAAAAGAGGCTCATCTGACTGCTCTGCTTAAAATTTAGCATGGTTCAGCTGGCATTCCCTTACTTTAGAACAGAAAATGCCTCTAGCACCCTGGCCATTTTCTCTGCTTTGCCTGGAAAAATGTGCCAGGCTTAAAGGCATATGTACATATTCATGGGGGAAAGGCTGGGCAAAGAAATCTCACAAGGTGCCAGGGCCACACAGGCATGGGAAAGCAATAGTCAGCAATGGTCACTTTACCACGGAGGCAGTTAAGGAGACGGTTGCTGCTATTTCATAGTAGGTTGTCCACTCAGAGGTCATCGTTGATGGGTTGAAGTAAAACATTTCTACAACATATTTCCTGAACACCCCAAGGAAAGGTCTGTTCCAGCTCAAAACCACAGCAGTAGGTCCCAAAGGGTAAAGCGTCAGATCCTTTATTCCAGTGGGCACTATAAACCAGAAATTGTGGTTAGTAATGTGTGTCTTATCAGTTACACTTTATTTTAAAACAATACCTTTCCTTAACCAAGTTCTACCTATTTCTGGTTTGTTCCTGACTTTAATTCCCAAGAGCTTCCTTGTCACAAGCAGTTGAATACCATTTTTTCAGCATTTGTTCTCCAGTCTGTTATGTCTACTTTTCCAGAAATGACTACAGGCGGTGGTGTTGGCTGCTTAGCTTGAGATGAAGTCCAGGGCTTGATTTTTCATAAATGGAGGGTTCCATTCTACTTTGAAAATCAGGATGTTTAGGAGATATTTCAAGTTGTTCAAAAACAAAAACATCAAAAGCCATAACACTTTGGAAGATGAAGACTACGAGAAACTTTTTATGTCTACCCCTCCTTCCCTGGGGAACCTAAAGGTGCTGTCATGTAATGCTATTCTTGCCTTACAGATGATGACACTGAGAAAGAGAAGTCGAGTGATTTGAAAAGTGTCACATAAGGGTCAACTTCTGCAACCCTTACTTGTCTGGAAAGCAATTATTCTTCATGACTTAACTGAGGCTACTTAAATAAGTACTTTGCTAACATTTGCAAGGGTTGCAGAGCCCCAGCTACTGCACGCCGGGTCAGAGCCGAGACCAGCACCCAGATTACTTCAGCCCATGTTAGCACATGATTGCCTTTCCCTTCATAAATCATTTACCACATCTTTTCTTTGCTTTCTCTAAAGTGTTAATACTCACCCAGTGAAAGTGAGGCTTAGGATAAACATGGGGAGAATTGAATACTTTTTAAAGTGTATTTTATCTTATTTCAGTTTCATTCATCAATAACCACAACTGATAATTTCACAGAACCGTTTGTTTTGGAGTTCTACTATTTTAATATCAAATTCAATATCCTGTTATGAAAAGAAAACTCATACAAATGTTGTTTTACTCCATAAAAACATCCCCTTTATAATAAGAAACCTATGAGATGTTTTGTTTAGAAACTGATTGCCATTTTGAGTTTAGTAAAAACCTTTTATGGTTGTGAGGCCACACAGAAGTGGAGATAGTGAAGGAACTTATTTACTTTGGGAATGTATGATTTTACTTTCTCAAGTGAAAATAGAATTTTGCAGATTTCTGAACTACAGTGAGAAAGAAAACCAAAAGCATTTGTAAAAATTGTTGAATGATAGAGATTTTAATAATGAAGTATATATGTATTTTACTTACTATTTTTTCCTTTACTGAAATATACCATACTCTCTTTTCAAATTTTTATTCAGACCCAATTTATGAAAATATATAAGGAGATTGCCTAGAATGAAAAGGCTCTCACCATATTCACTAGTCCACATATTTGCTTTCATTTAAGGACTCAATTCTTAACAGGTTCACTTTGTTTTTTTCTGTTTCACTTTCTTCCCTACATCACAGAGAGGAAGCAGAATGAAAAATACTGAAAATCTCTAGCTTTCAGCCACCTGCTCTCACATAAGGCAGACTATTTGTTAAAAGGAGAAGCTGGGTGACTCAGGCTAAATATTTCTCTGCAAATGTAACTCTATACACTGAATCTCTTTCTCTTTGCCCTTTCTCTTCTTAATACATTTTGTTAAAGTGGTAACCTTAATAAAATAAATTATACTGAAACTAAAAGATACTGAATTCTATCCTAAGTGACTCTTTATTTAGGAGCCTGGTGAAATCCTGAATTACAGGCATGGGGACAGCAGCTCTGCCTGTTGGCCATAAAACCACATTCTTGACAATGTTAGTCTCAGAGGGTTCTTCTTATCTTCAAATCTCAAAGCAGAGAACATCAAGATCCACTGTTAGACTCAAGAAAATCAAGGCATACACAACGGAAGTTGGTGATGGTCACATACTACCGTAGGAGATAAGCCAGCTCTCCTGACTCTTAGCACTGTGACCTTCAGACTGGGCTGCATTACATCCTTCGTAAAGGACATTTGCAACAAATGTCTTAACAGCAGTCCCACACATTTCATGAGTCAGTGGGAATGAATTGCCTCTAGGAAGTGCCCACATCTCTCCATGCATCACAGACCACGTGCAGCTCAGGGTGGCTACACCTAAGTGAGGTGACTGCCACCCTAAGTGATATAGACCATGAGCACTGCTAGAGACAAATATATATTCAGGTGTCCAAGGGTGAAGATGTTTCTTTCCACAGGGCCCTCTGTGTGTGAATCCTGGCTATAATTGCTCTCTAGTTAGGTTTGGTAATAACTTAACATTTAAATGTCAAATATCTGTCTTCCACTGAAGGAGTATTTTCCCCACCTCAGTAATGAGCTAGACAGTGCAAGAAAAATATTCTCAATAAGTGCTCATTACATTTGAAATAACCAACACGACAATTTTGGGCTCTAGGGCTTAATGAATACACTATACATATTTAAAAACAAAACAGAACAAAACACATATCAAGCAGTAGATGCAGGGGTTACCAATGGAAAATGTAACAGGATCAGAAGGTGGTCCAACCAACGGTCCTTTCCGTAAGTAAACCACAACTTGGTACTGGGCACCAGGAACGAGATTTTCAATGAGGCTGCTGCTTGAATTCACCTAATAGGAGGGGAATACATCAGATATGAGGTACTTGGTTAATTAAAAGAAGATTGAGACTGTACATGAACTACTCCAGTTACAAAAGGCGTGATTCTGAAGACACTGGCATCAGCAGCTAAAACTCCATTCATTAAACCCAAAATGGCAAAACTGTGAAAGTGGTCAGGACTGACTTGACAAATGATCTGACTCAGAGAATCACACTTGCCTTGCTGTGTAAGGCCAGCTGTCACACTGAAGACCCACTCTCTCCTACTGTCAAAGTTTATTGAAATATCCAGGCTACATTATTCTTATTCAGGTGATATTATTCAGGCATGGATATTTAGATGGTGTGTTTTCAATAAAAGCCTGAGGTTTTTCATGGGCCATCTGATTCATCTGCAGCTATGTGAGCTGAAGGCAGCGTTATGGGAAAGCTGTCGTCTGAATGCAAGTGTTAAATGACTGCGTGGTGAAATCAGAGAGGAATTACTTCACCTCTCCTGCACAGCACTACAAAACCTGACTAAGGGACCTTGTGATTTTTCTTTTCAGTTTGAAACATCACCATTAAAATTTCTGCTGTGGCACACCAGGTATCGGTCAGAGCTGGAGGCAGAATGCTTGACCAGGTGATTCCTGGTCTGATTCAATATGAAAAGTCTTGTCTCCTGAAGAGCGAGCTAACAACAAATGCACAGAGCCGCTTCAAGGAAAGGACTTCACGCACCCCTTCTAGAACTGCAGGCTGATATTTCCTACTAATATTTCCTTTGCAACCTTTCCAAAGTCTGTATCACAGCCACCTTTGCACTGATGTTTTATTGCGATGCACGTGACTACATCAGTGCCAGCACAGATTTAGTGAGGAAGGGAATTTGTCTGTAACAGCTGCTTTGGAAAGCTAAATCACTTTTAAATCATGCATAATGGTAGAAATGGATAGAACTCCGCACTGAATTTTGCCCTTTTCAGCTTGTCAAGGAGAATTCAAACCAACAGACATTAATAATTCCAAGTATAATAAGCTGATAAAATTTGATTAGAGGTGGTATGAATATTTGTAATGACAAAAAGAAACAAATAACTGTATTTAGACCTTTCCACCTACTTACAATAAACACTCATTTCTTTTACAGATATGTTGTTTATTCACAGATTAGCTTTAGGTACTTGTTTTTGAGTTTGTAGATGAATCTTGTATTATTTACTTTAATCATATATGTATATACTTGCTATCTTTAGTTTATAATCACGTACTGTATTGTTTTGCTTCCTGTTGTAATGACTGCACTTTTAATAAATGAAAGGAAAATAACTCAAGGAGATTACAAGCTGATTCTGCAAAACAATTCTCAAATTGTCATCTAAAGACACTTCCAAAAGTTCATGGACAATCTCGGAATAAAACTCAAAACATTTTGACAAAGATTTATTTTAAAAGACATTTTTAAAGGATGCAGACTCCCTGTATTAATTAACTTGCAGGGCTAATCACAAAGTTGAAGGAGATGAAGATTTACTGGGAGTGTTAGCAGTCTCCTTCCATTCCCATGGGCGAGCTGAGGGTGCAGCAGGGCAGCACTGCAGTCCTTTGCAGACTCCTCCATCACACACATTTAGGGAGCCAGACAGAAGGTGTGGCACTGCTCAGAAAATGGCCTTATCAACATCTTGGTAAGGTAACTGAGATGCGGGCTAAAACCTCTTTCTAACTGAAGCCACATGCCACTGATCCATCATAGCCACAGGATCTGACATGGGGTTGCACTCACTAAGGGTTTCAAATAACGGAAAACTGCCATATTTGGGGTTCAGGATTCCTGATCATTATAAACACGTCCCATATGGCAGCCCTAAAGAATTGTTGTCCATCCAAATCACAGGCAGTCTGGGTTATTATTTACTTCCCAGTGCTGACATCTTTTTTTATGGATGAAAAGAAAAGCTGACTTCTGATCACCTCTAAACTTCCAGGAAGTTTAGAGTCAGGTTCTGTATTCATATGTAGAAAATCTAAGAAAGAATTTATGCCAGTTTGATGATAATCATGCATGTGAGCATTTTTCTTAATACAAATGGATTACAGCATATGCCTTAGTGTTATTATGGTATGGCACCATTTTGCCTACTGCCACAAAAGTGTCTCAAAGGGTACAACATAACTCACAAGCTTGAACAAAAGATTGGCCACAGTGAGTCCAGCAGAAATACAGTTTTAACACTAATCTGGTTTACTGCGCACTGTCATTCCTGTATGCTGTGCTCTCCCCTCCACTGTGCATCAGCTGTGTCCCTTCAGATTGCAGAAGGGAGCACTTACCGCTGTGCTTTGCAGCCCTGAGCCTGATAGGGCCCTTGGGCACGACGATCCCGAACAGCAGGATGATTAACAATCTTTTCCTGTATTTGAAAAGGCTCCAGCTTTTGCCCCTTACCTCAGTGCAGTAGTGTTTTTCAAGCCTTTGACTTTCCTTTTGCTTCTGACAGGTCAGGGAGACCACGGACACGATGGTGCTGTTGCCGCCGCTCTCTTGTGATGCTGTCCAGGATGTCAGGGCAGTAGTGGAGCTTAGCACCGTCACGGTCACGTGCTGGGGCTTTTCAGTGAGCTCTTCTATCCATTCACCCGTGGGGCCTGGGACATGTCCCAAAAGCACATGTGAGCAAGCCACTCTATGCATTTGAGGCACTTATGTTAAAACATCCTTCTTTCAGGGGATTATTCACTACTAGTGGAAGAAGCTGGATGGACGGCTGTCCATCTCCACAGCCCGCAGGCTGCGAAGATGGCAGCCCCTGGGAAACAGCCTGTGGCCGGTGCCGGTGCTATTTCACCTGTAGCAGAGCAGATGACGAGAGAAACGTCACTGCTTGAAAATTCAGATTGCAGTATTAGCTATTGCTTACCAGAAACCACCCAGCAGTATCAGATTTGCTCCAAGGCAACATTTAAAAGCAGTGATATCCCATAATGTACAGATCACTGACAAATATTAAAGGATAAGCACACAAAATTTTTCGTCCCTCCACATACTAACGTACCCTCCAAGTGTACTACAGCCTTGAAGCATGCAAATCGAGTTCACAGGGGTTACCACAGTGAAGAATCTCATTCTCCATCAGACTTTTTGAAGCACTTGGTAGAGCACATAGGTTTAAATGTAGATAAAATAACAATTTGGAAAATAACTTCAGCTAGACTTGGTCAAAATTTTGGATTTCATGAAAATCGTCAGCTTTTCTTGTCTCTTTTAAGTGATGTTTGTGACAGCTCTCTCCTTGACATTCCTTCCTCCACGCAGTTCTAATGGTACTTTATGTTTATTGAGAAAATAAAACAAATGCCAGAGCAAGAATTTGGTGTAAGATCAGCCTATAACATTCGACAATCCATACTGCTATCTGGGTGCAACAAAAATGTTGTGTAATACAAGCCAGTAATTTGACAGGATGATTCACTGACTGAGTGCTACAGGGATAAGATAAGGCTGAAGCTACGAGCAAAATTTATTCATGACAGCAGACCCACACCTATTTAGGTAAAAGGAGGAATTCGATCATTAGATTAGTCTCTGGAGCCAGTGGATGTTATGTATAGCTCTTACTATTCAGAAATTGTTTCAGCATCGGCATTAAGGGAACTGAGCTACCTCATGTCATGGCCCAAAGTTGTAGTCTCCACACAAAACGCCTGCCTGATCAGGCTCATAAAGAGGAATGGAAAAGCAATTTCACCTCAAAAGTACTTGTGCACATCTCAGATTTGGCATACTACCAGAAATACATATAAAATCTATGTAAAATACTAAGGATCTTGCGTTTGACAGAATAAATAAGACAACTGCCAAGAATCCTCATCTGGTTCTAAAAGCTGGCAAAACTAACAGACAAACCCCCAAAAAACAAACGTTCTCATGTGTTACATGTAAAGTGAAAATATTCGTTACATTCCTGTAACATCTTAATACTTTATATCCAATGAGATTCAAGTTCATCCTTAATCTAGCAATCCATACACCTATACTTTGGGTTAACATTTTCTCATTTCTCTCAGGTCTCTGTCCCCAGTTAGTAGACTTTATGGAGGACACTGTATTGCATATTGCTTAATGGAAATAAGTCACACCTTGTAAAATGGAGTAACATTTGGTACTAATAGCAATGCTACATAATATATTTGATATACTTGTATACTTATATATACTTTAATGCTTTCCATATAATTAAGCTGTCTAATAACTATTCCTAAAGAAAACCAGGAGACAGTGAGATTACAACAGCAGAGACCCTTGGTCTCATGTGCTGTTTCCTCTTTTCTCTTTGTTTTCCAAGTACTATTTCTCTCAACTATAAAGTTGTTAAAAACATAGGAGTGATAGTGGACTTCAGTTACCTGCAGTCAAGCATTATGATGAATTTAAGCCTAAACAGTTAGTATTTGTAAATGTTATGAGCTACTAAAGACACAATTTTTATTAGTAGTGTACTTAAGTACTTAAGTTTCCTTTTAATATGAATATTTCTGTCAGCCTTAGCTACCGTGTCTTGTTGCAGCGTTCATGGTTTGGGGGAGATGCTATCCTCCCACATGTAAAATTGTGTAGTGCTGCAAGTATTCCCCTGTTCTTGTTGTATGGGCATTTTGTAGGCTATATCTATTTCCTTCTGTAGAAAAAGGTACAAAGGTGACCACGGCCATCAGAAGGATAATAATGTGAATTCACCAACACCTGTCTCACTTGCTGATCTAATTGTCAGTCATGATATTGGTTTACACAGTAGTGTATTATTACTTTGTCTTTTACTAAATCTTCAGTTAAGAAACCCTGGAATTCTACAGGGAAATAATAAATTACTTTTTCTCCTCTGAATTTAGCAGGCTGAACTATTTCATCTACTGTAATTTGCCCTGTGTTCTCTCAGAGACCATGTAATTTCAGAGTTCAGTGTTTAATTGCGCAATTCCCACACTCTCAGCCTGAGATGCCCTTCATCCCTAACCCGGTACATACAGCCTCCAGGACTAAGGAAGTTAAATATTTCCAAGAATCTCTATAACCACTGATTTAATTCTACGAATTAAATCCTCTCTTTGAAAGATGCAAGAGGGGAACCTGCTTCAGTGAGCCACTTCTGAACACTGGGCAATGACTCTATCAAATACCTCACCTGCTTCCAGTCCTTAGCTCTGCCAGGACGGCACGATGAAGGCCCATCCAGGCAGGATATAATATATAACATATTTGCCCTCTATTTCCTTCTCTGGCACAGGGAATTCCAGAAGACCAGACTCTTCTGATCCTGCAGCAGATGCTATAGCTGCCACAGTGGTCAACCTCTGTACATTAAAGTTACAGTGGTTTGGGAGAAAAAGACAGATTTGTTGAGATACTTACCGATGTAAAAGCTAAGTGTTTTTGCCGATTGACTTCCCCGAACTTCACAAGAGCCAGAGGAGCTAAACGTTGTTACAGACAACTTATATTTTCCTGGTTCTTTCAGTTCAGCAACAAATTTGTGAGTGTCCTCACTTACTGTCAAAAATTCCATGGAGTTCTCTAAATCAGGGGGAAAAAAAGTGTGGATTAATTGAAATTTGAAAGGCTCCAGCCACTGAGAAAATGATTTATATCAGGAGTGCTAATACTGTTTCTGCTATGGGATTAAAAGGTATCCAACAGGACTGGATTTATGTAGGTAGTTTTATTTCTTGCCATCAGCACACAAGTAATTAATGACTAAGGTTGCAGTATAGGTGTAGAGGAACAATAAACCCAGGCCAAATTTTCATTCAGTAACAGGGATGATAAAACAGGGTTGCCATGACTGTGCAAGTGAAAAACAGCACGGCATGGAAGAAAAGGAGCTTCCAGTTTTCTATCTATTGCCTTCTCATTCTGCAAAAAAAGTATTTGTCTTCAGTATGAGAACTGCTTGTCAGGAAATAAAATTCATTTGGAGAAAATAGATTTTAAAACAGAAAATCTTTAAGCAACATGGCTATTTTATTGTAGCTCCACCACTTGAAAAGTATCCTCATTCTCCACCACAGCCTCCTTGTGGCCTAAGGAACACGTTCAGTAGCTGTCCTCCGAGACAACTGTTAATCTGAATGTAGACTGTCTTTTCTATATGCCCCTTCCAGTTGAGGTCCCCCTGAGAACCTTTCTCAGTGGCAGGCAAAGCTACATGATATAATGTACCTTCCTCGTCTCAAATTTCTATCAGCTCGTTCCTCCTTTTTCCAATAGCAGAATGGATTTACGATAACTGCAGTGTAAACAGTGCGGCAATATATACAACCGTAGAAATCTTGTTTCACAAAAGAGAATTGCAAACTGTAATTTACCCCTCCTCCCTCACTTTTATGAAGGCCAGCCAGAACTGGATGCTATTCAACGCAAGAAACTTCTCAAGAAATGCAGATCTAACAAAGCCCGCTGAAACAGAGTACTAGGTAATTAATAATTTGTAGAGGAGACAACCCACCAATGGAATTACAGAAAAGGGGTATGAAAAGGGTATAAGGCTCTGTTTTACCTTCCCTTTCAATATTGATATGGAAACCATCAAATGCAGTAGGTGGCTTTGGTGGTAACCAGGTCAGCACCATTTGTACAGGAAGGAAGTAGGGGGGCTCTGGCGTGAGTTTTCCAGATGTGTTGACTTCATTGGCCTCGTAATCACTGGAAACTGCATTGACAAACTCCTCTTCACCCTCTAACGATGCAGGTTCGTTAGACCACCAGTCCGGCTGCGACGTGGTTTCGTACTCAGTGCTGTTATAGCGGTAGTCCGGCCAGGCTGCAGATGTGTTCACTGCTGGAATGTCAGGTGGGTTGTCAGAAAAATGGCTAGGTTTTTCTTTCCTTATGATTTCTTGTGGTCCCATGAACGATTCTTCTGCAAAATCCCCACTGTGCTCTTCCCAGTTGTTTCTGTTGATTGGTACAATCTGAACAGAAATGTTTCGAGGTGGGTAAGGAACTAAAAGAGAAGCAAGGGTTAGTCTTTTAATAGGTATGTTCTGTGCACCTTTGCGATGTGTTAATTCCCCAGGGAAATATTGTTTGCAGAAAAACAATGCATCTAGGGATATTTTGAAATAACTTGTTCTTATTAAGATTCTCTCTTCTCTTACGTATACTTATAGCAGAAGTGATTCTAGTGGGATCAAGATAAGTGTAAATTCACAGAAGAATCACGACTCAAGAATACCAGGAAGAAAAATAGATGTGAAGTCACAGTAAATCAGACTTCAGTGCTATTACAGCACCAAGGCTACTCGAGTGTGAATTTGTAAGAGTGGATCTTCATTTATTTTATTGTGTCTTCCAGAAAGATCTTGATCATGGAAAAAATACTTCTGTAGAAATGAATTGAAAAACATATGCAAAATTAATATACGGCATAGCTCGTATTTAAAAAGTATGACCTTCATGTTGCTGTAGGGCTTTTCATATGCTTTTAGCAGCCACCTTTTCACAAGCATTAAACATCAGTTTAAATGTTAATATTTGTGAAAGCTTGATCTTAAGATTTGGGTCTCCAGAAGATGAAATTCTGGCACACAAAGAAGTTACTTCAACTTATGCCAGGAGGTGAACACACAGCATTTTGTCTGCCTTACTGTAATTGCTTGTCTGTCTGCCCTTACACACAATAAGTGCAAGTGGCCTCTGCAAACAATTTTGACTGGCACCTTTTAAGCTGGCACCTTACAACACACTAATTTGTTCACCTCCCCTGTCCCAGACACAGCCACTAATACAAAACCAGACACTACAATCTCATTGCAGTTCATGCAAAGAATGAGGGATGGGAGGGCAGCAGGAAAGAAAAATGTGATCCTGTTGGTTGCGTTCTTATGGTTTGATATCTTGATAACTATATTTAGGATCCTCAGGACAGAACTCAGCTGGCATCAGTTGGCTTTGCTCTGTCCAAGGCAATGGACGAACATCAGTGTATTCATCTGAAGATTTGGCCTTTTGATTTTACCACTGGTTCATTTCACTTTGGACCCTGGAAAATGTCTGTGGTCCAACATATTAACAGGAAAGTTTTGGGCACCGTCCCAGGACCAAATTAAATTAGTTCTGGACCCTGAACAAATGCAATTTTCAGCCTTTGCAACATTGCTGTTTTGGAAATTAGAAGTTCATGCTTGAGGGCATAAACTGGCCGCCAAGTGGGGCAACTACGACATTCTTCTTCTCCGTGATAGAAGACTGCACAATGAGGAAGGCCTTCTCCAACAGTTTAGCTATGATTCACCGCACAAGGAGACAGCCCAATGTAGATAGATCAACAGTACGCTCAGTGCAGCCATTCCTGTGGCTTAAAAATTAATTCCTAGCACAAGGCCTAGGATATCTCATGTGAAGCAGAATTTATTTTCTAAGAAGCAAGCTTCATAACAGAAACGCTCATGCAAATTTCCCTTTGCACTCTATTGTACAAATAACCCTATGTACTAGCTGCAGCACCCTCCCTCCCATGCTCCTGGCCAGGAGCAGCTCCCAGGACTGCCCCCACACAGACCCTCCACTCTGGGGGATCAATCCCCTCCCCATGGCAGAAAGGAAAGCAGACAGACAGACTTGGAGCAAATGGTACGTAATCATTTTCTTCACCTGTTCTGTGCTGTTTGGGCTCATGCTGGATCCCACTGTATTCCACTAGCGTGCTTTTGTTGAAGGTTGCTTCTGATACCAACTGAAATGTGATGTTACTGTAGCATATACCTGGTAGCCAGTGATTGAAAACTGTTTTACCTTTAAAGAAATCTGCAGAAGGTTTAAAAAGAAAAGAAGAAAGGAAAAAAAGAGGAAAATACATCAAAAGTTCACTTTCTGATAATGCAACTGCACATGCCGAACTGGCAGTGTTTCAGATGTTTAAACATTGCTCAGCCTGTTCTGAGACATGAAATTCTAATAATTCAGTTTGCCGACATTTTTCCTGGCTGTCAAAACCACTTTGCTACAAAAAAAAAAAAAAGCCCAGCACAAGAAACATGAGCTACTTTTCACAGGAAAGGGAACTGAACCTGGCAACCTGTTCCACGTGACACTGAATATCTCAAAGAGCATCTGACAGTTTCTGCAGACCTCTAACTGCTGCATGCAAAAGCATCCCTGGTCTTTTGCTGACTGAGGCATAACATTCGGGGTAGATGCTCAAAGGGCCATCCACTATGCAGCTGCGTGCAAGCCGCGGTACTGAGAGCTGAGCTCATGTCCACCATCAGAACACGTGCAGGCTGAAGAGAAGTTGCTTAGGGCTAGCTGGCGACGGGAAGGAGTGTGCGGGTTGATTAGTGAATCTCTTAATTCAGGTTGACTTTTTTATTAACCAGCAGCTGCAGCTGCAGCATTATAGCCCCTGGAACCATGTATTAGCTGTAGAAGACAAAAATTACTGCTGGTATCCCTTTTGTTCTCTGGAAAGAGGTCACCCATATTTTGTGCTATGATCCCGAATCACCCTTCCTAACTTCTGGCACTTCATAGCATTGAAAATGTGATTTCTAGCCCCACTCTGTATTGAAGCAAAGAGACTCCAAAATTTTCTGACCTCCTTCTGGAGGTGCATATCTCCCTCTGCTGACTTTAGAGAGAGCTTACAGTGACCAGGCTTCTACTTTGGGAGCCTTAGTTCAGTGCCTAAAATTCAATCCAGCACCTACTGGATTGCTCAAAGGCATTTTACTGCCACTATGCAATGTTAAACCATTGGGGTTTCAGGGCCTGCAGAGAACGCAGGTGCCCTTCTCACCTCTTAGGATGCTTTCCACAGGACAGTCCCATTTACATCTTTGAGATAAATGCTATGCTTAAGCTATACTGCAGGGCAAAAGGGAGTTCAGTTTTAAACAAATAAAAAAGAAAGCAGAATTTGCTTTTGTTAGATTGTTTAGATGGTTGGATTGGTTGTTTAAATTGTTTAGACTGACTGTCTAGATTGTCAGATTGACTTTGATTAGATTATTTTAAGAAAAATGAAATTTATAATATACAGCAGGGTTTATTAGCTCAGGGATAATACTGAAAGCTACAGTAATATGCAGTACTACACAGCATAGTATATTAGCCACGGTATGGTGATACAGAGCTACCAGGTTTAAATCCTGCACCGGGAATCAGGTATATTGAATGGGTTTCCCAGCTCTGGGGCATCCCAGAGCTCTCCTATCAGCTATTCACCAAAGAGGAAACCTTCACCAGAGGGAAGGGACTAGGAAATTTTAATGCTTTCAACTGACACAGAATGTCATCCAGGGATTTCAACAAGCATATCTAGAAAGCAAAAACTCAGCTCAAAAAAATGCTGAGTTTTGGGTTTCTTTCCTTTTTCCTTTTCTTTTGTTTTGGATTGTGCAGCAGCAGGGAAGATATAAAAACTAGTGGAAAGTTTTTTGGATTTTAGTGTACATGCTTATTTGGAAGCACCAGAAATTGGGGATCCCTTCCCAGGTTAATTTCAGAACTGGTTAAAGAAATCCAGACCGCCTAGTCTTCCTCTAAAATCCAAAAGAAAGGAAGTATCACTAGAACTAGGATGGGAAGCAGGTTTAAATCCAAAGTGAGACACTAGCTCAATTCGAAGACCCATCCCTTACTTCATGATATAAAAGTTATTATATAAAACAGACACATTACCAGAAATATAAATCATTATAACCAATACATGCCAAAACCACACCTAAGACCACTGTTTAAAATGTTTCCAGCAGAGTTAGCATTAATTTTTAGTGGAGTAGTTTCCTCCTACCTTTGTACAGCATTGTTCGGTAGTCTTTTCCTTCCCAATAGCTTATATTTACCCTGGTAAAAACATTGTACTTCTCTGGGTACTGAATTTCAAACAACACTCCTGTTTCTGGAGATGGTTTGTAATCATAGATAGAAACACTGCTCACAGGAAGGGGTTCTAAAGGATATACAAACAAAAGGAAAAAAGGAAGAAAGGAGCAGATTAACAGGCAAACTGCGTTCTTGACACATATACAACACCAAAGAAAAAAATGGTTTTGCTAGGTATGGCACAGGCACTCTTAAATCCACCAGGTGATATCTAGGGCTTCACAGAGGTCTGGGGCAAAGCTACTTGGATGTTGTCAAAGCCAAGGTTTGTGTGTTCCCCCACAAAACAATTCATGTTCTTGATGCTTACACTTTAACAGAAAAATTTCCCTACTTGCCATAAAAAATAAGGTTGAAATAGCAGTTATTATTCAAGCACTCACAGTCATCACCCCAGAAAGATTTTCATCTTTAATGCTTGCCAATCATGTAAAAGTGCCCAGACAAAAACAACAAAACACTTGAAATTGCTCATAACTTTGGCATAAATCTGAACTTTTAAGATTAGCTGAGAAGCTTATCACTGTAACGGCCAAAGGAAGCTACCTGAATGAAGATTTTCTATTTTGATATGTATTCTTTTCTTTATTTCATGGGTAATTACGCAGTCCCCATTCCTACCATATCTGAGAGGGCCACCATCTTCAATGTATTTATCCACGCGAAACTTCTACAAAATATAGCAGTACCACATTATTTTACAGATGAAGAACTGAGGTCTGGAGAAGTAAAGTGGTTTACAGGAGGGCACAGTGGAAGCCTGTGCACAGAAAGGAGGTAAGCGCGGAACTGCTGATCTAGTACTCTGAACTCTGAGCCAGGTGGGCTATAAAAAGTAAGAAAATAGCCTGTGTCCTGTGATCTGGCATCTAGACCAGTGTAGTTCCGTTGACTAAGGAAAGCTGTCAATTCACTGTAGCAGGAAGTCTGGATTGTTGCTAATAAGAGAATCACAGTTTTATTCAGTCTCCCTTATCCACCAAAAAAAAAAAAAAAAAGAAAAATTTTTAAAAAATTAGCCTTTTGCTTCATGCTTTCCTCAGGAAGAAAAAAATTATAGCAACCCAACTATACAGTGTTTAAGAGGGCCAAGAAGATAATCAAAACAAGGTTATAGTGTTAGTTGAAATTTGTCATACTAAGATATTTTAATAGAGGTAGTTAATGCACCCTCAGTAATTATGCCTACATCCTTATAAGTATTATCTTGTTGATTTAGTTCCTGCACACTGTAGGGAACAGATTGAAAAATTCAGGCTGCTCATTAGCATAGCCTTAGAGGACACATTTGAGTCCAAAGTTCTGCTGCGGTAGACCCCGGAGAAAAACTAATAAAATATTTTTCTCCAAAGAGCATAGAGTCACAACGAGCAAGAGAAAGAGTAGATGAAAGGGAAGAGCAGTATCAGTTTCAAAAGTGGAATTATCCCACGGAAGGTGGAAGAGGTTAATCAAAGGCGGAAAAGCAAGACTGAAGTGGAAGCAAAAATTGAGTCCCAATTAATAGCACAGTATTGTCACCACAGTACTAAGTTTCCAGATGTGATGAGAAGTGGAGGAGAAAAAACAACTAAGAACAAAAGCCACAGGTGCAAACAGAATCTCTCCCTGAGTCTTAAGAAGAAGCCGTGTTGTCATTTTTAACTTTGTCAGAGCATGGGAATGCAATGTTGTTGGATTATTAAACTATTTCTCATGGCAAAGACGCTTCATTATCTTCAGGTAAATATCAGTATATTTGTATGTTAACCACTTACAAATAGAAACTCCCAATCTCACAGATACCAACAGGGACTTCAGTGATGGGATCTGTGAAAATTTTGCTGACAATTCGTGATAGCCTAGAAATACATAGAAGTAGAGCAGATCACAGGAAACAAAGCCTACCCTTTTCTTTCTGCTGAGGCTTTTCCCATTGCTTATTCTGAAATAAACAGTTGATCTGACTATCCACATGACTAGAGGGTTCACATCACAGCTCACATAGCACACAATAGTAGTTTAAATGACAATAACAATCTCTAAATAGCACAATTCTTACATGCAGTCATCTTTCATGTTAGCGGGTGTGCCCTGGGCTTTCTTCTGCTATCTCATTCACATCTGAGGTCTCCTTATTTCTGAAAGTATTACTGAAACTTTCTTATGTCAGTGATTAAATTACCCCATTTATTCCTTCCTACAACAAATCAAATAAAGGATGGAAGTTATATTCATTTTTAATCCAAATGATTTTTCCTCCTGATGCTTTGATTTAATTAACCAATAATTGAATTAAGCAGTAATCACTACAGACTCTCTCTCTTGTTGTTATCTTCCGCTTACTATCCTCTCCTTGCTCATGGCTGATGTTAGCAGAGTAGCATGAGTGATATAATGCAATTTAAAGATTCTTCCATTATCTTACTTCCTTCGGCACCAAATCTTCACATCAAAAGCTATTTGCACACTGTGAAATTAAAAGGACACTCAGCAGAAAAAAAATCATGTTCTGTTTTTCACTTACTAACTGCTCCTAGGGTTATTAAACTTAAAGAATATGTAAAATGTAACTCTTCACTATCTATATTTGTAATTCAGAGCATAAACAGTCTGGTCTTTTTAATTTTACAGTTGTCAGTATTTCGGATCCAGCTTTTCACAAATTGCAGTGCTTCTCAAGAAATAGCCCAAATAAAGTGTAGTATAATATTTCAGAAATTTAGAGCTTTATAAACGCTCTGCACTACACTGAAGTCTGAAGTCATACTACAAAAGGGACTTAGAGAATTTCAGTGTCCCTCTAATAGCATGTTTAAGGCACTTCTTCTTGTACAGTCTCTTTATTTTTAGTCTTGCAGGTTATATTAAACGCACATAGACAAGCTTGCAGTATCAGGACCTAAATTTGCCTTTTTTCTTAGTGCCTCAGAATTTGCTGCTCCTATAGCAACTGCTTTCCCATTATATCTGTTTATGAGAAACTTAACTTCTGTGTTTCTCCTGGACTCTACAGCATTTTGCATTTAGCACATAACTTGCATTATACAAACATCAAGATAGCATAATAAATGCTGCTAACCTCTTCCTCAAATGCCCTGGAAAATTCTGGATGCTAAATCCTCCATTAACGCATTCAATCTGTGCCAGACATATTAACGTTTGCCATTGAGGAAAAAAAAAAAAGAAAAAAATACACTAAAAATAAGTACCATATTCCAGTCCAAATCAATTTGGTTTTAATATTCGTAGATCTGGTCACTCTACAGATTGAATTAATGACTGACTACTGTGGTAGCTTAGGTGTAGTATTGTATGTGGGTGGTTGAATGGGACTGAGATCAACTCTCTTGCTTCTCACACTCAAACCCAAATTAATCATGATTTACCTTCATATCGTGACTTTTATAAAAAAGAAGCCACATTAGTGGAATGACCTAACTCCCATGGGTAATCCCCTTTATTCACATGAAGGAGTTGTGAACTACATAACGTTCTCCCCAGGATGACACTGTTTCCATGTCTATATAGTTACTGAGAGTAAGTCATAGCCAGGGTAAAGCTTCCATTACGCTATAAACTTTAGGGATCATTTTCTCTCTTGCTAAAAAGCAACCATTTTTGAGATTAAACAGCTGCTGTTTAATACTTTAGGAACATAATGTTCAACTTTATGATATGTAATAGAGGATACCATGTGCAACTGTTTATGAAAGGGGAATGTAAGTGAAAGTAGTATCTGAGCAATGATGACATATACTGCAATTTCTAGATGCCCACATAGATGACAAATAAAAAGACAATACAAACTAAAAAATAATGTTGTCACAAGAACAAAGGCGTGTCTGTTGTTCTTGAACAGATTTAGGCCAATACTTTAAATCAGCCTTCCAATGGAAATTATGGCAGGAAAAAATACTCATAAGGTTGCAGTTCTTTTTGTTTCTTTGATTCTGATGGAGCAGTTCTTTCACCTTAAGAAGGGTACAACATGATTTGTTTGCTGGGGAATGCTGAGCACTAATGGACCTAGATGTTCTTCTGAGTTACATTTCAAAATCAGGGCTGCCACGGATAGCCAGCCTTTTTAAAGATGTGCCATGTCATCCCTTAAGAAAGAAAAGCACAAAGGGTTTAAGTTTTACATTTCATTGGAAAAAAACCTCTGAAGCTCCTACTTCAACAGCTCTGATCCATTAATGCACCAGGGGAAAGGATTCGACCTGCTGAATCACTTCCTGTAGCGTTTGGCACAATGACAACCGAGCATTAACGAGGTCTAATGTCAATTACTTTCTGAGAGCTGAAGAGATCAGAGTCCCAGGCAGCAGGCCCGCTGGTCTCTTGAGGAGAATATTTTTTGTAGAAGACACAGAGGCAGAACTCTCCCTAAAGGGAATATATTTTACAGTGATTTATGTAAGGAATCATCGGCTTTTGAAACAATGAGACATTTACCACTCAAAACTCCTAATCACAAGCTAAAATAGAAGTCAGGCAAAGCTGCTCTTAATTACCCTCAGAGATCCTGAGATCCTGATTTCTCCAATTCCCAGCAGAGAAACATTTTTCCTACAGCACACAATAGCTTTGCAATGTACTGCTTTCCCCATTCCTTCAAATGTACAAACATTTTTCCTTCACAACAAAAACTGACAGTGAATTTGAAAAAATAAAAAGGCTATATGGGTATGAGTCACCCTGGGAAGAATAAGGCAAGGCTTCAAGCTGGGAAAATGGAGAATGAGTGAGAATTTCAGTCACTGATTTTATATCCATGCTCTCTATTTCTCTCATAAACTACTTTAAAACCTAAAATTAAATTAGTAATAAGGTGGAACTTTCTTTCAAATATTGCAAAACACTAAATTAATTATATAAATTCTGGAGTTACTTCACTCCCATTGAAAAGCCAAAACTCCAAGAGCAGAAGAAAGCAGGCTTGAAATAATTGTGTTAGATACCAGAACTACTTCTAACCTTGTTCAGACTGAAAGCTGGAGGGAAGGTCATTTTGATAGGCACAACACAATTACACACACAGGAACCTGGCCAGGACAGCGAGATTCACACACCTATTCTTGCGAAAACTATCACAGGGATCTTTAATAATAAGCAGTCAGTGGTTCAGTTTTTCCCCTTCAGTGAAGTACTGAGCCCAATTTGCTGAACACAGCTTTGCTACAGAATCAGAAAAGTGTTATTTTGTGCTCAAATTCTATTTTACAGGTTTCCTATCTAAGATTTGAATGCACCCTGTTCATCTCGTCCTTCTAACGTCCCAGCTCAGGAAGCAATGCAGGGATGTGGGCTGTGCTCAAGCTGACAAAACCCTTGGGCTCTGAGAAGAAATATTGCAACAAATAGCTCATACTTTGCATTACAACAATCTGGACTACAGAAGCTAAACAAGGAAACTCTATAGTTGGTGGTGCTTTGATTAACATGAGAAAGCCCTGAAATTATTCCAGTCAGAGACAAGCAGAAAATAAACCGTTCAGTCTTGTAGAGAAGGCCCAAATTAACAATAGAAGCCTCAAATGGTAGCATACATACATGCATATATGTATATTTATATAATGTTAAGATATTTTATATGTACATATTTATGCACGCATAGATTTATATGTATTTATACTTACACGTATATAATTATATATACATATATAATGTATAAAATATATATTTTGTTAGCTTTTAAATCATCTTTCTCTTGAAGAATCTTTTTTCTGGACAGAAAAGCCTTCTCTGACTTAAGTGGGATGAAGTTTCAATCTATGAAGAGACATACCTTTTTCTTGCCAATATGTTGAGAAGCAGCACATCGCTGAGGGATGTGAATAGGAAAAAGGAAATGTCATCAAGATATACCACCAGAAAGCAGAGGTCTTCCACGGCTCTCACTGAATTTCTAAGTAGGCAATCTCTTTGAATGACCTTGCTCTCCTTTTGACATGCACAATTTGGATACACACTGCTCTGTGTGAAACAGATCTCCAGCATACGGCCAAGATGAAAGACTACATCTTCCTGCACTGACTCCTTTGCAGACATCAGGAGATCCCAGAAAACTGTTGTGAAATAGCGAAGTACAGCCTTGGGAATAACCACATTGGCACCACTGGCTATCCTGCTTGATTTATCTTGTTGCAGCCTAATGAATGGGGCCAGTCTGCAACTGGTAAATCTCTCCTGATACCAATGAAATT